TCGCCTCCCTCAAACTATCATTCTTCCACGCCTGCTCCCTCGCTCGCAGCAGTCGTCTACGTTCTTCTGCTGAGATGTCCACGTAGGAACCAGAGGGCGTTATGGTACCGGGTGGCCCGGCGCCACCTGTACATAGATAGCTTTCATCGGGGTCTTCGTTTGAGGTGTAGGTAAGGAGTGTAGCTTGCTGTCCGTCGACCGGCGAGGTGTAGATGTCGGGAAACTTGTCATACGAAACTATGCCTTGAGCGTGTGATTTGGGTGCCGGACCGGGTGGGTAGGGGGTTAGACATGTGGTGCAGAATGGGGATGTTGATGGGCTGTCGAAGTCGCAGAGGGGGCAGCGGGTTGTGCGTGGTGTGGGCTGGGTACGCGATTGAACATCGGAGTGCTTCCCGGACGTCTTCGCATGCTTTCGAGACCGCAAAGCCCTCAACTCCGCATCAGAGAAAGGCGCAAAAATCGCTCCACGTCTCCGCTCTTCTTTCGTCGTCGCGGCGTCTACCTTCTTCGTCTCACTCCTCGTGACAGCATCCCCCAACCCCTCCCCCCGCTGCTCCTCCCCAGTCACCAAACCCTCCTCCCCATCCCCATCCTCCCCCCTCCCCACCATGTCCAAATCTACCATCTCGCACACCCCCCTCACCACCCCCGCCCTATGCACATCCCTCACATATCCCGGAATACCCCTACAAATACCGCTACATACCCTAGAAACATGTTTACATACACAAACGCCCATAGCGGTGCTTGTCTTCCCCAGGTGAGTGATGTGAGCGAGGGTACAGCGTGCGGTTGCGGGTATGATGCCGAAGCGGGCGGTGGGGGAGGTGGGGTAGAAGGAGTTTGGTATGTGGCGTTTTTGTCGTTTTTGTGGGGGTGGGTCGGGTGATGAGTGGTGGGATGGTGCGTGTGGTGAGTATGGTGCGGGTGGTTGAGGGGGTTGTGAGGGTTGTGAGGGGTTGGGATGGTCGTCTACGTCGGTTCTGGTTCTCTTCCGTGATATTTTCTGGGAAGGAGGAGGGTTGTAGCTTCTGAGAGACGCTGTTTCGAGTTCCGTCGTCACGACATTCTGTGGTTTTCTCTGGTATAACCCAACGCCGTGGTCTCTGCCAAACGCAGCATCAACTTCCGCTATCGTCACGTTTCGTGCGCGACTCGCATCAGATATCTTTGGGGGAGCATGTATCCTTGAAGTTGCGATGCTTCTCATTCTCGCGCATCTCCTCGCGTAGGGGTCGCATGGAGCGCTGCAAATGGGTTTGGCTCGTCGTCTTTGGGTCATCATGGTACTAGTGAGAGGAGTTAGGGTGAGCATTACGGTACCATGGCTAACGAATGCTGGTGATGCGTGCTAGATCGGAATAAAGGTGAGTGTGTACAAAGGCTTTGTATGGTATAGCGCGAGTGATAAGAGTGGCGAAATCGAACAAAGGGTGGTTTGGCAAGACAAAGCGTAAAGAAAAGGCCGGACAATCTGATGACGGCATGGGTCTTGTTACTCGGCAGCAGACAAAAGCTGCCGCTGTGCGAGCAAAATATCGAAGTATCTGCGAAACCCTCAACATGAGCGAAATCTCGCCAAACGCAGCACATTCAAAACGACCTACTACTCCCCATCCCCTCAAACCTGCCTAGCCCTCAAATCCGCCTGCCTCCACCTCATACTCTGAAAGAACCCCTGCATCAAGCTCTGATCAATCCGACTAAACTCCCACCACCCCTCCTGCGCCGCATCCGTAGTCCCCACATAAACCTCCCTCGGATGCAGTCTCGCACAGGGCCAAAGTCCAAATGGACGAACAGACAGCGTCGCAAGCAGCGGATACAGTTCTTCCAGAAGCAGGCTCGACAAGATCTTCATCTCGCCCTTGTATCCCGGTGTTACCTGATCGATAAACTCCTGGGAAAGCAGGTCTAATGTTGTGTCCACAAGACGCACATGGCCGCCATTACTTCCCCACGAGGCGCCGTACGGCGGCGGGGGTCTGGTTTCCTCGGATGGGGGGTCGACATGCGATTTGAACGCTTGTTTGTCCACGACGAGGAAATCTTGCGTCCACATACGGCCTAGCGTGGGTAGCATGGTGAAAGTCCGCTTGAAGTGTTGTTTCGCAGCCGCGATGTCGCCTTCCGCGATCCCAGCCTCCCGGCCATCGATGAACATGATTTTGGCCTTGCTCTTGATGGCGTCGAAGCCGGAGATCCACGTCCCAGATCGCATAACGTCTTTGGTGAAGTTCTCTTGGAAGGTAGCCCATTCTTCGTCCGTTTGCTCATAGGTGAGGCGGTAGCATACGAAGCCCCATGCGTCTGGGTTTCTCTCGAGGTTGCGCGGGTTCTTTGCGTAAAAGTCCATGCGCTCACGTAGGATGGTGATCCAGTGTTCTTGCGCAGCAGGTTTGGGTGGACCGCAGAGGGCGAGGCGGGTTTCATCGCGGTTCTTCTTGCCTTCTTCGTAGTGGCCGAGCAGGTTCTCGGTGTCGCGGAAACGGGGGTGGGCTGGCTTGGTGAGTTGGCCCATTATGTCCATTTGTTCTGCTAGGGAGGGTGGGTTGGCGGCTTGGTCGGCGGCGGCTTTGTCTTCGGCTTCTAGGATGGCTAGTTGGTGCTTGAAGGACTTGCTTCCCATGATCTGGGACCAGGTGTTTTTTCGTTGGGCTACGGGGAGGTCGGTGAAGGCGTTGGTGGCTGTGTAGCCCTTGAAACCAGTCATGGGGACGCCGATCGTGTACTCGAGTCTGGTGAGTATCCCTCTGAGATCTTGGACACACTCGTAGTACTTCTTGCCGGCTTCGCCTATAGCTGCTTCGTCGGTTCCAGCGGTTTTGAGTGCCTCTTGGTACTGCTCCAAAGCACGCGCTTGAACTTCATCCACGCGATCTACAACCCATTGATGCGTCCGCGTTGACATGTTTGTCATCCCGTCGTTCCAGTACTCTGCCCACATTCCAGCAAGATCCAATCTCTCTTCAACGTCATTCTGTTCGCGGCGCAAATTAGCTGCCTTCTGGAATTCGACATATCTGTCGACCATCCAGTTGAAAGCGTCGCGAGTCCGGGTGTGGACCTCCTCGTGATTGAACCATTCAAATATTTTGGTGAGGTCATTGATCAATTCGAAGAGATTTCTGTAGTTGGCAGGGTCATCCATCTTGCGTTCTACCCAGCGATCTCCGCTGATTGGCACCATACCAAGCAAGAGCTTTGCTTTGAGAGGGCGTAGACGCGCGAGGAAGCCCATGTGTGGTGATCTTCGGAGCTCTGGGATTTCTTGCCTCTTCATCAGCGGTGCAATGCGGTCCATGCAACTGTAGTTGTTTCTGTTGAAAGGTGCAGGAGCCCATTGACTGTATGGCGCGGTCAGCAGCCCGTATTCTTCTTGTGTCATGAGTGGGAAAGACGGACGGCCGCCGCCGGGTCTGCGACCGCCAGTACTGTAGTCACTAAAGCCCTGTAGGTTTCGCACTGATACGAGGTCCTCCTCTTGTATTTGTTAGTGTATGGTCATGAGTTGAATGAAGGGTTAGTACCATAAACAAGATTGAGCAGCTGTTCGTGACTCCATGATGCATGGTCACCGAACCAGTCCTTCATGTGCTTCTCCGCCGCATCAAGATCCATATTGCGAAGGCTTTCTTCCATTGTCTCTTTCCCTGCAGGGGTAGCGGTATGCGATGTTGAGGTGAATTGTTGATAGCGGACTATGGGAATCTGTCTTTGCATTTGTAGACTCGAAGACAGGTACGGTGTAGAACGAGCTATGCTACATCTGGGCACGCGCCAGGCTGCAATGCGCGAGGCCTGTCGGGTCAGCCTGAACGAAGCCATGAATAGAATTTTTTCAAGGCAACGAACGCTCGAGCGCGGAGCCCAGAAGACGTTCACGGGCGGCTGCCTCAGGGTGAATGTAAGGCGTGCCGCGTTATGACTGAAAAGGGAAAGGCGGATCACCACTAGTTTCCGCGGTGCCACTAGGCAGCGATCTGGACCCAGAACACTTCCCGTCCCAAATCGCTCATTGCTTTTCCCTCGCAAGAGATGCTCTGCGGGTGCACACTTCCACTCTTACCCATGCGACGCGTGATGGGTATCATATATGCGGTTTCTGGAGTGCCCAGCACGTGATGGAAATGCGTTGTCGTATCCTTGTCTTCCAGTTCACGATATAGCCAAGTGGCTTGCCTTCCCGTTGCGATCCATAAGCATACAAGCTAGAGAAGCAATCCGGACAGCACAATCTGACCTCAATGATTGATTGGCGCCAGAACTCCCAGCAAGCTATGCTTTTGTCTATCTCTTTCGCTCAGCACCAAGCTGTCCAGCTTCATTTGAGACTGCGACTTTTCAAATGAGCTAGTGTTGCGTCACGAAGACCGCGATATCCCTGCCCATCTTGCTTTCAGGTCGCACAATGGCTTCCTCGCTTTCGTTTCCAAGGTCTGTGAGCCCCTCAATCCCGTACTTCCTGTTGCTGTTTGACTTGTTCGACGAGATGCCAAAACGCTTCATCTCAAACTTGCCACTACGCGATCGGTCGGACTGTGTACGTCGAGATGTGCCAGAAGCCTTGTCGTGACTTCCGGCGCTGCTCCAGACTTTGGGAAGGTAGGTCTTGATGAGGACTTTGAAGGTGGATGCCGAGCTGCATATGATGGCTACAAAAACACAAAGTTAGCCTTGAGGGATTTGATTAAAGATTTGAGAGGAGACATACCTGCGTAGATCTCGATGCTGCACCAATTCAAAGAGTCGGCCATGTAGTACCAAATATCGGCTTCGTCGGAAAGGAAGAGAACGTAGTAGAAGCGCACACAACCAGCTGCAACTGCGACCAGGCCGACACCAAGGAGAGCGCACAAAGCGATCTTTTGACCGCGCGGCATCTGCAGCTTCCAGACGATGTGCATTGGTAGGATGTATATGGCGAAGTCTTGAACAATGCTGTAGTGCGCGAGAGTCAACGAGACTGCATGAAGTTGCGACTTTGGTTGCAATGCTTACTTCATAATGCCGTTGATGTTGAAGAACACTTGCTGCGTGTCCTGCTTGAGGCACTTCTCTGGATGCAGAGCCTGACCCTCGGGATTCCAAAACAGCGACGGCGGCGTGCAGACGAATAACAGCACAAAGAAAGTTACAATGGATAGGGCGGCTACCCATGCCATTAAGAAGTACACAATCCATCTCGTGGGTCGTCGAGGGTCTAGTCGATGGTAGAAAACGAGGATGCTGAATTTGACGAGGCATATCGCTACAACGTAGAGTAGGCGTGTCGCGAGATTTGCCTTCAACATAGGAGTGAGGTCTTCGTTGGAGATGTTGGGTGCTGTAAGGCCGTCAGCTGAGTTTCGAGCAGATGATCAGTATTGACTGCTTACTGTGCTTGCCTACACCGTACCAGCCGCCTACGAACAGGCTATTAGTCAATCTTGAGCTCAATCACTCTGACGTGAGGTTCGTAAACTTACAAACCATGTTAGCAACTGACAGCGAGATGGTGAAGAATGCGCCAGAGATTATCAAATCTGAGTTCAGCTCTGTCAGTATGCTGCTTGCTAAAGTTAGCTATAGAGATCAACTCACAATCGTCGGTAGCCAGTTTCAGCCGTATCAAGCGTACACGAACATAGACGCGTAGGAATACTACGACACTGGCGATTGCGATGAAGGGGATGCCGATGGCGAACAATGAAGACTGCTTTGTGTCACTCTCGAGTCCGCGAGGCTGAATTTGACGAGACATGTTCTGCAGTGGAGACATCTGCGATGGCCAAACACCAAAGAAGAACTGATGCGTGTGGAGAAGATTTTCCGTCCAAAGCCCAGTGCCACTGCAGCCACAGATGAAGACATAACTAAACCTATTGGCCTACTCGGGGCCACCCGCCGTGCCTCACGGCGTGGGAGAACAGGCTGGCGATCGTTATGTCTGTTGGTAAATCACATGGTTGTCGTTTCGCCCCAGTGCAACGGCCTTGGACGCCCATGCAGTCGCGGCTCGAATTGGCATCTCTTTCATGTCTGATCACCATCTCACTGGAGCCAGTATCGCTATCCCCTGGCCGCGCTAAGACTGCCGTTGCATTATCTGAATAGAAGCAACTCTTGGTGGTCTGTGAGGCTCGGTTAGGATTTTGACGCAAAGATGAGCTCATACTCGGTAGAGTCGCATAAACTTCCACGCCGCACTGACTCGAGGGCGGACATTACCCCACGCCGCATGCCGTGGCTAAATCCTACACAAGGGACCTGCCGCTTAGGATGGCAGGCAGCTCCGATGGGATGTTATTCCCGGCTGAAGGATGCGTGAGCCGCGTACGCTGTTGCATGAAACGCGTCGAGGACCTTCTGAGCGGGGAGCGATTTTCACGTTTGGATCGCGATGAGAACGAAAGCAGGAATTGTCGTATCGTAGTTCTATTTGCGTTTTAAGAGCGCCAGAGGAGCTTCAAGGTGACCAACTAGAAGAAATCGTCGATACGCAGTATAGATCCTTTCGCTCCTTGGATAGGTCTCGAAGATGGCTCCTCGTCGCTTACTTCTTAGTCGCGCCGATGCAGCTCTCCATCGTCACCATGCGCCTGTTCTCCTTCAGTGCAATCAACTCGGCTTGGAAGTCAGCTTCCCAAGCATCTTGCTGTCTCTTTGGCTTCCAGCCCAATAGCTTGCGTGCAAGTACCGCTTTCGTAGCTTTATGCCCACCCCAACCACGCTCCGCGATATCGCGACGACCCGCAGTGAGCTTGTCGGCAATCTCATGCAGCGGCACAGATCGAATCTCCTTCTGCTTGGGAGTACCTTCACGTGGCAAGGTACCGTCAGCGAATGCTGCATCTAGACACCCTTGGTTGATGTCCTTGATAAGTGTGCGCCCGACGGCCGCAAATATGACACCGTTCTTGCCGGATGGGAGGTAACCGACGCCGCGATCTTCGCGTTCGAGGATCTTCCGTACGAGAAGGACGTAGATGTCGGCGAGATCGATGACGTGAACCCAATCGAAGTTCGCTGTTTCATTGAGCTTCCAGCCGTATCCATGCTGTACAACGTACATCATGATCAAGGGAATGACCAAGCCTTGTCTGTTGAACAGGCCGCTGCCTTCGCCAAAGATGCATGGTGTGTTGATACTGATAGCCTGTACGCCAGTAGCATCAGCAGCCTCCAAGACGCCCACTTCGGTTGTCCGCTGCGTGTAGGGCTCCATCTCATCGAGTGCTCTCATGAAGCTGAAGATTTTGCCTTTGTCCGTCTCGTCGTTCCATTCTCGTATGGGTCGTCGAGGTTGCGATATGGGACGGTCGGACAGATTGGTGCAGCCTGATATGTGCAGTATCCATGGCGCCGGCTTGCCAGCATCGATGCCGCGAGCGAGTCCATTGACAAAGGCAATGGCGCCTCCAGGAATGAAGCCAGAGCCTGTGTTGATGATGATGTCGTAGTTGGACGCTGTGTCTTCGATAAAGGCTACGTCTTCCAGGCCGGACCATTTGATGGTGTTTACACGGGAGCCGTATACGGTTTTGAGCTTCTGAGCTTGCGTTTCGTCGCGGATGAGGAGGTCAAAAGTGAGATCTTTGATGCTCGGTGCTGTGCTTGCAATGAGCTGGGCGAGAACAGTGCCGCCAACGTATCCTGTAGCGCCCGTGAGTAGAATCTTGCTCATGGTGAGATCTGGAAGGATGTCCAATAGGTTCGAGAGATTGTTGATCAACCCATAATCATTTGCTTCCTCAACCACTCTTGCCTTTGGGGACAGCTCCTCGGAGACTGACTCGTAGTTAGGCTTCATAGTGGGTACCATGCTGTGGGAAGCGACCCCGGCCATGTAGGATTCTTACACATTGGGAAATAATAACGTCGCGTGGGGTTGGGCAAGGAGCTGAAAGAATTCTTCCGGTTAACCGAATTGTTGAGCATGCATCAGCCGCCTGTCAACTTCCGATATGCGTCTTTGATCAACAGTTGTGACCGCGGGAGGTGACCAGGTAGCCGACACTCAGAAGAAGAACGGAATGTCTGGTCGTTGCGGTCAGACGAAGGGCGGCTATAAAAGCGAGCAACATCCTGTCTACCAAGCGTTTGAGTTATCATCGACTTCTTCCTGAACACACTATCAATCTGGACTGTATGAGGTAAATCCTCCGCTATTCCAGGGGAAGATGCGTTCGTGAGGCACAGCAAGATCGGCTCATGTGAGAGGGAGGGGGTGCACGACCGTTGCTAGTCAGAGTGAAGCTTCCTGGTCGCGACAGTGACCTCGACGAAGGGTTGTTGAACGCCTGACACGTTGATATGTTGGTTTCGCGAGAGCAACATGAGCAGGCTAAGGTTGGATCTCACTACCGTGTGAGGACCAGTGGCCGACCGAACTCTTTCGCGTTGATGCAGCCGCAAATCATAAGAGATTTGGAGTTGTCGCAAGGCTGCTATAAACAAAGATGGCATCCAGTATTCGGTTGGAGCGTGTGGACTACATCACCTCATGGCCTGAAAATTGACCAGACGCCGCATGGTCGTGCATACTTCATGCACGTTGTCGTCCATCGCAAGGAACGCGTTAGATTGGGGTTCGCATCTGCACATCTGGCAGTGTGCAATCGCGCAATGCGATGGCTGCAGGAGTGGCCGAGATGATCTCTGTTGTGTAGATGGATGAGTTGAGACGGATGGGTGATTGATCGTGATCGCACGACGCGTCTCCTTCCTAGCTGACTAGCGCGACGCTAGTTCGCGTCGACATGACGTAGCCACCTCGGCACAAAGATAGGTATCCTACGTAATGCTAAACTTACCGCATAAGACAATGGACCTCAACGTGTATTGTTGAAGGCATGACGGTATCTTCTGTCGACACGATCACCGTGCGCATCTGCTCAGCACCCTGGGCCATCTCCAGTCCCAACCTTACCTAGGTAGGATGTTGGCGACATTCCCCATCATTGAAAGGCTACCGCACGCCATGTAGGACCCTGGAGGTACTCCCTAGTTCTCCATATAACAGCGACCTACTTATCGCACTATCGTATTCGTCCTCTGCGTCCTTTGCATGCATCTCAGCACTTGTAATGGTCTATGTATTTGACTACCACCACCATCGCGTGTATCCCAGCCCAAACTAAGCTTATGTAGTTGTCTAGCAGCGCATGATTTTGCAAGGGCTTTTCGCTTCGCCTACAAGCTCAGGGACTTGTTCGGGGGGTTGGATCTGGAGCAGAAGCAGGCATACTTGATTGCGCTTCGCGGATGCACTGCCGCCACTCTCGTGCTCGAAGGCTGCCCGGGCACCGGCAAATCTAACACTCTCCGCGCCATCTGCGTCGCAATGGTCCTCATGGGCTATCACGTCTACGTCAGCGCCCAGTCCAACAATGGCGTTGACGCGGTCTTTGAGAAGGTCGCCAAATGGGCACAGGAGAACCGCCTGCAATGGATCGGGGAGGTCGTTTTTTGTCGCGTGGGAGCCAGTACCGTCGATGAATCGCTCTTCAAGGGACTCAACCGTCACTGGGCAGACCCCAACTTCGATGAAGACTACTCCGATGGAATGATCAGCTCTATCTCTGGGGTCAACATCTCCGACTGATCCGCGTAAAAGATGGCCAAGTACGCCCGCGCCAAACCAACTGAGGAGTCATGCCTCACCTACACCAAGTACGTCAATGTGAGAGCCGAGAAGAAGCGTAAATTCTAGACCGGTCAGCCGAAGGTCTCTGGCGCTACATTGTCTCGCGGCCCAGCCATCCGGGAGCTCGTGAAGGCATGCATCGGCAAGCCTCGACTAGTTGCCGTCACCCCCGCAGCCTCTCAGCGTGAGGTCATTCAGCGTATTCCAGGGCTGTCAGATGGAGACAAGTTCAACATGGTCCTTTTGGATGAGGCGTCGCAAGCTACTGAGGCGTCTTTGATGCTGATTCTGACCACGGAATGGTTCCTTGAGGTGGGGCTAGTTGTCTTGGGTGGCGACCATCTTCAAATCTCACCCGACATCAAGTCTGAGGGTGAAAGCCCCTTCGGTAACATTCCCGAGATCTCACCCCTTGAGCGCTCTATCAAGGTTTACCGTGACCGGCCTGTCGTCAAACTCATCAGTAGTCACCGTTGTCATTACCGGATATGCAAACACGCCTCCGCGATGAAGTGCAGGATAGGTAGCGATCCACCAGATCGACGTGACGAATGCGGGTCAACAGACTTCTACATTTACAATTGCAGGCTTGTGCGTCTACTCGACACGGATGTCGGGCAGAGACATCGACACATGAGCATGATCTTCACTGCACAGAATCACAGTGAATACCTCCTGGGTAACATGTATCAATCATGACGTGAGTATGTGGATGATATGTAGTAGTCCAGCACCAGTCTTGCAGTCAACACTTACCCTCTCCGGCACTCTCACCCATAAGCCAATCGCGAGTAGCGACAAGAACGGAAGCCAATGTTGTGCCATGTGAAGCTGTTAGCATCCCGCAGGAGTAAGAGGTGAGAACTTAAATTGACAAAAAAAAAAAGAGGCCACCGTCCTCGGAACAAAAACGGTGGCCGGCGCCGTGGCTGCCCCTGGTGATGGAGTGTTAAACAAAGTGGTAAGTATGTAACCGATCCTCCCCAAAGGTCGCGAACGTTAATTCGCACTTGCAGCAGACTAAACAAGCGGGATGTCAGGTGGAGCACAGAGATGCGGCAAAGATGTGCTAATCCCATTTAGGGCAATAGCGTGAGTGGTGTCAGAGGAGTGGGGACGGGGGACGAGCAGATTATATACTGGCGGGTGGCGAATCTCGTGCCTGTCGCGCTCGGGCGCTCATGACGTACCGGTGATACGGAACGTCGCAGAGACTTCTGGTGAGGTACCGATGAGGAAGGAGCAGTCAGCGCCTTCACTTTCACCGACACCAACCAAAGGTGTGGTACAGATGCATTGCAGCGCTCTATTCGGCGTGAAGGTATCCCGTGTAATTTACAACAACATGTCCTGAAGCAATCTCACACCCATCACTCCCCGTCCCACCCCCGAACAACCGCCCACTCACTCCCCATATCCTCCCTATTCCTATAAACAGCCCTAACCCCCTTCTCCCTCAACGCCTTAACAGCCGACGCCCTATACACAAACCCCTCATCCTCCTTCTCCACTTCCTCCGCCCAACGCCAAAACTCCCTGTTCACCTCAATCTCCACGAAGCTCAGATGAGGGAACAGGTATCTATCATACATCTTATACAACGCGCCGCTCACAAACACGCAGTCTGTCATTAGCTCGTACCAGGTATGCAGGAGATGCAGTCGCTTGAGCGAAGCAGGAAGTAGATCTTTCAGCCTACCCCATGCGTAGCGGGGAAAGACGACACTAGCATCCACACACAAGCTCTCAAGCTTGTACAAGTCAGCGAGTGACGCAGGGATCCAGTTCGGAGCCACACGCCTATCCGTCGCCCCCGTGTTATACAGCGCCAGGTGCCGCAGCGTCTCCCGATGTGTCCTTAGCGCGTCAACAACAACGCCGAAGTGAATAGTCGTCGGCCTATCGAACTTGGTCCACAGCTGAAACCTATGATTATGATTCCGTGCCATGTGATAAGCAAAATGTGACAGCGACTTGCAGCACCGTATCACTAGACTCAAGACGTCGACGTGCAGGTAGCCGCCGCGCAGAGTGAGATGGCGGACCGTGGATGTGTGGTCGGGGAATAGGGCGGCGTCCCAGTGCCAGGAATGACGGGGCTGAAGTTCGCGCAGGTTCCAGACTTCTAGTTGGTGTAGGTTGGGTAGTTGGAGGAGCTTTGCGATGCGGTCGATGTCTACGTGGGGGGTTCGGATGGTGACGTTTTTGAGGAGGTTGTAGGTTGGTGGCGTCTGTAAGAGCGGCCCGGGGAGAAAGGGGATTTCCCATGGTCGCGTGGATACCATGATGGAGAGCTCTGGGAGCTTGAGTTTGCGGTAGTGGCCTTCCACGGCATACTTCAGAGTATGTATATTTGGTGTGTGGAGATATAGCAATGCACACGCTGCAGCCCCGAAGTGAATATCTGGAGCTTGCAGTAGCCGTTTAACGACGGGGTCTGTAGTCAAACCCTGCAAGTCTTCGAGGGTTACTGGAGGGGTGTTGGGGTCATCGCTGTTCAATACCGCTATTCGGTACTTCTGGTTCCGATATCCGTTCCAGACTGCATTTAGCTTGAGCGAGCGCACCAGGGCGGCGAGAGAGGGGTGGCTGAGGAGGGTTCGTATAAGAAGGACGGGGTTGAAGTCGGCACCGGCATGAATGTTGGCGTAAAGCGCTTCCGTCGCGGTTGGGTTGAGAGGCTTGACTAGACAGAGCTTGCAGAGAACTTTCTTGGAGTTCGCATCGGTGACTGCAGCGAAGTCGGCGATTTTCAGAAGCAGCTCTGGTGGTAGATACCCGATACCCCTGGGTGACTGCCCAGCAGTTACCTGTAGTGTGTCATCATCGTGGGTTTGTGTTGAACTCATGACTGCCAAGGATTTGGTATTGGGCAGATGCTGACGATGTGGAAGATTGGCGAGTGTAACTTTCAGGGTTGTACCAGCAGTAAAGGCCATGGATGGATCTTCAGAATCGTGTTAGATGAACAGCGAGCAGGCGACTGCAATGGTGAACGTGAGCCGATGCCATTGTGTGAAGCTTCCTGACCGCGGTAGGTGTGAAAGCCGACCTGCAGCAGAAGACCGGTATGCGTGAATTGATGATAGTAAATGAAAAGGAAACGGGGTATCTTATGCTCCTTCATCCAAACGCCGAGAAATGCAAGAACAGTGTCGTAAGGTGCCGTCAATCAATGCGTAGGCGTGCAATCAATCCGAGTCGTAACCCACCAACGCCCCAAGCAAGGCCTGCTTCTTCATCGGCACCGCGGTATCCGTCTTTTCCTTCTCTTGACCCGATGGCGACGAGATCGCAACTGGGTCTTTCGTCTCAGGGTCTCTCTTCCTCTTCAGTATGCCGAGATTGACTCTCGGTGTCGCCGGAGCCTCTTTGTTCAGGAACGGATCAACCACCGCCCTCGTATTGCCCACCAGCGTCTGCTGCAACCCCAGCCTCGACTTCTCTTTCGCAACCTCCGCCTTAAGCTTCCTCGTCTTCCTCACCGCCTCCCCATCCTTCTTATCCTCCCCCTCCGCCTCCCCAAACAGCGGCTTCCACGCCAACCCTTCCAACCCCCCACCGTCACCCACATCCTTAGCACCAAACTCCACAAGCCCAGCCCTCGTCCTATCCGCCTCCGTCTCATCCACAATATCCAGCCCCAAACTAAACTTCTCCTGCATATCCTCCTTATGCCTATCCTCCCTCTTCCACACCTTCCTCTTCCCACGGAACACTTCCCTCAACTTCGCATTGACATCGTACGGATCCCGCCAAACCTCCGCTTTATCATACAGCTCCTCCACCCTCTCCCTATTCTTCTTCTCAATCCCCTTATCCTCCATCTTGCCTTCTAGATTCGCAAAAGCATCGTCCCGCCTCTTCTGCCTCTCCTCCTCTGTCAGGAACTTCAGCTCGCCATCCGCTGTATCGTCTTTCACAGTAGGTCCATAGTCGCGGCGTCGCGCCCCCTCAACGACTACGTATTCGCTGTTTTGTGGATCGGTTCGGATCTCCCACCACCCGCCGCACGCGCTGTGCTTCATGCGGAAACTCCATATTGGGGTGGTGTGGTAGTTTCCTACTTTCTTCTTTTCGGCGTTGAAACGGACGCCTTGGCCGATTATGGCGGGTGGGGTGCAGTGGTTGCACCATACAGCGAAGGGGAGTTCGAAGCGGACGGTTAGGATGCCTTGGGTGATCTTGTTGGCGCGTTTGCCGAGCGGGTGGGAGGAGTTGTTGAAGCTGGGTGGGTTCGAGGCGTCGGGCGGGTAGTACCGCCCCATGTTGAAGCCCTGCATCGTGGCGGGTGGGCGAGGGAGGTTTACGCAGCGTGCGCAGGTTCGTGGTGGTTGAGAGGTTCATTGCGTGAGCGACGGTCGCGAAATTTGGCCGCGGGAGTGGATGACGTAAGCATAGCCTTGCTATCCATCCATGGATGGCTGTGACGCGACTGTCACGCGACGAGGCTCTTTCACTGGAAGACGCGTCGTGACGTCATGGACTTCTGCGTCTCGCTAGCCTTCATGCACACGCATCCAACTTCCTGACTTGGAAGGTCAATTAAGGTTGCTGTTGATTGCGGCACTAAAAGGCTTGTCTCACAATTATCCCGCGACGCCTATCTCCGAGCCCTGGAATCCATAGATGCAAATCACCACGACAAGAACATCGATGTGCATAGTAGGAAGAATATTCGTGATCATATTGTTCGGATGTTCGGTCTATGCTAGCCTTACGTCCAAACGCCGTGGAACCTCAGGCTATGTTGCCTCAATGGCGACAGCTTTTCGTCAATACAGATATCCGGCTCCTCCTCTTCCTCCTCGTGGGCTGATCATGCGTGGTTTAATCGGCCATTTAAGCCTCGTCGGTGATGAGCTTCGTGATCTTGCCAATAGCGATTGTCTGACCCTGGTCACGAAGAGTGAAACGTCCCAGCTGTGGGTAGTCTTCGAATCGCTCAACACAGATGTTTCCGGCTGTACCAGTGATTTGCAAGCGCGCGATGATGCTCATGCCCTTGGTAGCGAAACCCGGGGCCTTCTTCGATTTCCTTCCAGTGCCCTTCTCCAGCTTGTGCAGCAGTGCGGTGATGGTAACCTCTTCTTGTGCGGCATGGACGTGGAGCACGCAGTTGAATCCGGCTGTTAGGATAGACTTGATGTCAAGCAGTACGACCTGAGCCTCGAACTGGGAGACGCAGTGGACGGGGCGCTTTGGTGAGCACAGAACGTATCCCTGGTCATCAAAGTTAGCAAGCAATCAGAACAATCTTCCAATCTTTGCTTACAGGCAGAATGTCTTCCTCCTCAACACCCCGAAGCCTCACACGGATCTGGTCACCGCAGGTCGCGCCTGGGATTTCCTCTTCTTGTTCACCGTACAAAGCGGAGATGTGGATGGTTTGTCGGTTGGGCATCATGAGGTACCTGACATCGTTAGTACAAAGTAGATCAAAGGTTGTAACACTAGGACTTACTTCTGTTCCTTCTTGATGATACCAGACTCTATCTTACCCTCAATCATGGTACCCATGTCTTTGTACTTGGCGGCGATGGGCATCATGAAAGGCGCGTTAAGCTTACGCTCGAGCGCTTGCATGTTGTCTAGGTATTCGAGCAGAGATGGGCCGTCGTACCAGGGCGCCAGATCCTTAGGCACACGGGTCTTGATACCTGTGAATGTTTGCGCGCTGACTGGCATCATGCTGATGTCTGTCTTGGGGTTGTATCCGAGACCCTTCAAGAACATGACCACCTTGCTGGTGCACTCCTTGAAACGGTCCTCTGACCACTCAACAGTAGGGTCGTCCATCTTGTTGACGACGATGAGGATCTTGTTGACACCCTGTGTCTTGGCCAACATGGCATGCTCTCGGGTTTGTCCACCCTTCTCGAAACCGGTCTCGTATTCTCCCTTGCGTCCAGAGATGACGAGAATACCAACATCGGCTTGCGAGGCACCACTGATCATGTTCGGTACGTATGTCTTATGGCCTGGCGCGTCCAGGATGGAGTATCGTCGCTTCTCCGTCTCGAAGAAACCTCGGCCAACTTCGATAGTCTTACCCTGCTGTCGCTCTTCCTTGTTCAAGTCAAGCGCCCAGGAGATGTACCATGTTTCACGACCAGCATCCTTGGCTTCCTTCTTGTACTTGTCAAGTGTTCGCTCGTCGACCATGCCGGTGGAAATGAGAATACTTCCACCGAGGGTGGACTTTCCTGCGTCAACGTGACCCAAGAAGATGATGTTGACGTGCTCTTTTCCGTAAATCTCGGCAAGGGTGGCCTCATCGACAACTTCGTCCATTTCCTTCTCGACATCCTGTGCCTTGGCCTTCTCGGCAGCCTTCTCCTTCGGAGTCGGGCTGTTGCGGCCTGAGGAAGGTGTTGGCGAGGTCCTGCCAGAGCCTCCAGACGCCGGGGTGGGCTCTCCAGTCTTCTCAATGGCCTTTGCAGCAGTGACCTTGGTGCCAGCCTCAGCGGTGCCCTTCTCCTTGTCTGCCTTCTCCTTCGCTGCCGATGGAGCGGCGGGGGTGCCCAGGCTCAGGACCTTTGTGCCGCCTGCCTTCTCAACCTTTGGTGTTGTGGTGTCGCCGCCGATGGAGAGGACCTTTGCCTTAGGCGCGCTGTCGCCACCAATCGAGAGAACCTTTGCCTTGGGCGCCTCCTTCTTAGCCTCGGCGGGTGCGGCACCCTCTGAGCCAGCCATGTCGGTGTCGCCTCGCTTCGCTATCCGTACGGGCGCCTGGCCTTGCTGCGCCTGCTGGGGCTGGAAGTTTTGTTGCTGGGGGTATTGTTGTCCGTAGTTGGGGTATCCTCCTTGCTGGCCGCCGTATTGCTGCCCATATTGCGGGTAGCCTTGCTGCTGTTGGTAGCCACCGTATTGCTGACCACCATACTGGTTGTAACCGCCATATTGCTGCTGGCCGTACTGGTTGTAGCCCTGGTAGCCTCCGTAGGCTTGGCCGGGGACGAATGTGCTGGCGCCCGGGGTGAATGTCTGGGCGCCTGGTGTGAAGGTGGGCGTGTTGTTGAGGTTCATGCCCTGCGCCTGCTGTGCGAGGCGCTCCTCCTCTTGCTCCCAGCTGTCGGCCATGGTGACGTCGGTCTCGCGGGGATGGGTCGTGTCGTCGGGGTGGTGTGGTGCGACGGCGTGCGAATTTTGGACGGTTGAGTCGCTCGTAAATTGGAGAATGCGTGAAGTCGACCCGCGGCCAGGGAGCGACTATCAGGTATATAAGCGGACGGGCGTCGAGTGTCGTCGGCGAAAAGTGAAAATGTGCCGGGTCGCTGCTGCCCACGCAGGATTTGGCGGGGTTGCTTTGGGTGGCTGTGTGGGGCTGACTCAACGCCTCGCTGCCTAACATTGGCCAGGGCGCCCAGCAACAAAGGCACTCACCAGCCTCAAACATTCACTTTGTCGTCACTTGCCGCACTTAATCCCGGTTGCGTTCCCCAGCAACCTGATATCTGACCTCATGGTTCCTCTCTCCCAGCCACTTCATCAACCGCCCCTTCCACACATACAAGGGTGAAGCCCAATCCATAGGGCAAGATGGAGGCAATCTTAGCAAAGGTATGACTATGCTTTGACTCCCAACGCGTCATAGCAGACAGGGAGTCATCTTCTCGTATCTTGAATTATGCTGACATGTGATAGGTCACCCAGCAGGCTATGAGCTATGCTATCCGAAGCGGCATAGCAATCACCAGTCACTATGCGCTGAAGCAATGCGGCCGACTGATGAAGACGGTCGATGGTCGAGAAAAGCAAGAACTCGCTACTCTGCAGTTGAGACTCGACTCCAAGATCAAGATTATCTCACCAGCAATCGACATGATCGAACTGATTGCGGCACGCGGAAACACCTCGCTTGAGTCCGCAGTGGGTCTCACCAAATCTCTTCGGTGGGATATCCAAACCTTAGGGAGTCGTGTCGAGAAGGCCGTCGCTGAAGAGCAGCTTGCAAGAAGAGGCAGCTCTAAAGCAAAGTCGCGCGATCAGAATGATGTCGAGCTGAAGATCATTATCGAAGAGATGAAGAGGCTGCTGGAGCGGATTGAAGATGCTGTACCACTGATAAATCTGGCGATCACCACATCTGGTACCAGTCTCTCAACTACGCTCCCAGCTACTGTGTCACCATCACGGCTCTTGCAGGCGAGCACCTTTCTCACTTCGGGCGACATGCAATATTGCGCATCGAAGCCCAGGGCTCAGCAAATTGGTCCAACCTTCATACTCTCCATGTACATGTTGTTCGCTGGATACGCGCATCGAGCTCATGAAGAAGACGTGCGAGAGACGACATGGAAGGAGGTCATGCACAAGGCGCGTGTTACACTGATGCGAGTTCCACTGGACAATGTTTACGACTATCCGACACCCTTTGGGCAGGACAGTCGACGCGCTGATGAGGCTAAACACCCTCACATTCCATCCGACAGCGTACTGCAAGAGTTCGCTTACCAGCTGCTCATTGTTGAAGACCTGGATGACGGCCGTATGCATGAGTTTGAAGACGGCGAACCCCAACCAGGACCCTATGATGGTGTCGAGCAAGCGGGCGTTCGTGAGATCATACCCATACATGAAGTGTCCAAGATCTTCTACGCCGATACGGGTAAGATCTTGAACATTGGTTCTGACAACGAGAGCAACAATCCTATCTTGTTACTGAAGCGAGACGTCAATGCAGCACCGCCACGCCGCATGATGGAACGCGATGCCGAGGAACCCGGTTATGAGTCCGAAGACTCACATACCGTTGCTGATGATGAAGACACCGAGCAAACAGAGTTAGAAGAGCAACTGCGACGCGAGTCGACACCACACCTTGAAGAGCCTGCTCCGCAAAAGACCACCCCGCAAGAGACCACCCCGCAAGAGCCTGAACCACCAACCTACCCCTGGCGACTACCTCCCACGCTGGACTTGGAGTGGATGGCTTTTGAAGTATACACCGAAGACCCCACAACCGACTCCGAGATCGACGAAACCGAAGACCTCACTGAAGACGTTTCTCCCCCATCCCCAGCAACCACACCCACACCACCCGACTTCCTCGGCCGCTTCTCCAATCTCAACCTCCGGCCCAGCACACCCACGTCCCCACAACCGCATTCCAGCAACCAGATGATTCCCTCGCCGCAAAAGGCGTCTGCGCCCACTCCGCAATATCAGCAACAAGCACCGACGTCCCTACCTGCGATCAAAACCTCGCTGTCTCTTTTGGAGATGCTCATTCGCTTGACTGCTCTCCAGCAATTCCAACAATCCTCTCACCTCGCCATTCCAGATGAGTTTCTCAACTTCTTCCTTTCGGATAGCAGTACAGTGGGCGCCGGTGGCGACTCGGAAATGCGGCGACGGGTGAGGAGAGAAGCGAGAATGAGAGTAGGCTTTGATCCCTACGATGAGAGTCCCATCAAGAGGAGAGGAGAAGAGTACCTAGAGCATGAATTACACGAACACGGACATGACCAGGTACACGACCACGATCGCGATGGGTGGACTGATACGCCCACTGCGAACGACGGCAGAGGTTACGATTACGACAGTTATCCCATTGGTCAGCGCGGGTTATCGCCCTACTCGCGCTCGCGGGGTAGTACACCAACCCCGTCTAATTCTACGCCTATGCCTTCATCGGGTCATCGCTCGAGATCTTCTGCCGACATCTCGTTCTCTGGAAGACACAGTCTGGGTAACGTCTCCTCGCCAAGCCCGCTCCTCCGACGAGCAACCACACAACCGGGTCAGCATCTCAATCAGATGAAACAGCCCAACTTCTCGCGGAGGTCAAGCAATAACACAGCGGTACCGCGTACGGGGAGTGTGCCGCCTGATACCCCGCCGAGCAGTGTGGCTAGGCCGGGTTAGAAGTACTTGCAGTTGACGAGACCACGACTTCGACGAGGGATGAGTTTTAGGGGCAAGGGCGGGCAGATTGTCAACAGTCCCATGTCCATTTTGTGTTTAGAGTAGAAAGAGCGAGCGAGCGATTTCAAGCATCAGAATGGCGTTCTAGATACCACTTGTTTTTCGTTCATAGAATGCACCTTCAAATATCATGAATTAGCATAGCATAACGAGCGAGCACTCCTCACTGATCTTCCATGGAATAGCAAAAAAGTAAGATATTTCACATGACTTTACTATCCTATCAGAATACCCCTTCCTCCCATCTCATACCCATCAAACCAACACACAACACATAACCAAAAAACAACAAACAACCAAAACACACAATCCCATCGCGCCGAAAACACCCCATATCATTCATATTCATATTCACATGTCCATCCCCACCCCTACTCCTCCAACCCCTCACCTCCACCCATCCTCATCCCATCCCCTCACCAAACCCCCTACTCCCAGTCCTCCTCCTCATCACTCTCCTCAGTTACAACCTTCTTCTTCCCATCCTTCCCATCCTTCCCATCCTTGCCCTCCTGCGGACTCCCCGGCGCCCTCGTCGTAGTTCCAGAAACTAAATCATAACTCGCGTCGCTATCCGCGACGCTCTTCTCATCGTTTGATCGGCGGGGTTGCGCGGGTGTTGGCTTAGCGTCGTCTGTGGGTTTGAGGGTTTTGACGGAGGCGGCGAGGTCGGTTGGGGGTTTGGTTGTGCTGGTTGCGGTGGTGGAAGCGGGTTTTGTGGTTGTGGTAGAGGTAGATGGGGCGGCGGCGGTGGTGGTGGGTTTGGTTGTAGGTTTGGTAACGGTAGCGTTATCGTCGGAGTCGTCGTCTGAGTCGTCTTCTTCGGAGGAATCGTCTTCGTCGTCATCTTCTTCTTCGTCTTCGTCATCGTCGTCTTCTTCTTCCGAGTCTTCGTCCCAGGCTACTTCTTCGTCGGGTGCGGGTGTGGATGCTGTTCACATGTTAGCTTCACCATCCTATTCCAGAGCAAGAGATGCAACTCACCCTTGAGCATCTCCCTCCTCCTCTGCTCCTCACTCTCAATAACATGGCGCAAGAAATAGTATCTGCACCAAAACACCTTATACTCCACCTTCTCCGGCACACACTTCTCCATCGCACTCCTCAACTCCTCATGCTTCTCAAGATCCTTCGCAATAGCCTCAGTCTTCTTCTCCACATCAAAGCCCGCCTTCCAGTTCTCCCACTCCGGGCTCGCGGGGTCTTTGAGGAAGGAATCGAGCGTCGAGTGGATAACGTGGAGTTGGGCGTCGAAGCGCGTAGCGTGAACGACCTTCTTGCCGCTGCTGTCTTTGGATTCGAAAAGCACGTCGCCGTCTTTGGCGGCTTGCGAACCGGCTTCGGGAGGCGCGATGGTGACGGCGTCGCGGAGGAAGTTGCGGATGTTGCTGCCGAATTTGAGGAGCGCTTCGTCGGCGGCGTCTTCGGCTTTTTCGACGTCTTTGAGCCGTTTTGCGGCTTCGGAGCGGAAGCGCGATAGTATGCCTTCTGCCTCCTTTACAATGTCTGCGGTCAGGGATTCGGGTCGGTCGGGGTGGGCTTCTGTGTCTTCGGTCGCTTTCTCGGTGGAAGCGTCTTGGGAGGTGGACGCAGATTTGGAGCTCGAGGCGTCGCCGGGTTGGAGGGAGATCTTGCGCGCGTGGCTGATGATGTTGGAGACGCTGGCGGAGGCGTTCTTGACCTGTGGCGCATATTGCTTGCTTGCGTTGTCGTAGTATTGCTCGCCCTACACCGCACATGGTCAAAAAGGGTAGCTTGAATCCCGCACGCCTATCTTACCTGCTTCCGCACATTGCCTAGAAACCCTCCCAAACGCGCCGCCCACGGGCTGCTCGATATAGCTTTGTAAGCATCCTGGAACTCGGCGTTGAAGTTGTTGGTCGTCTCCTGGTGGGTGTTATCTCCGCCGGCGGACTGCTTGGTGGGGTCCTGCGGGTAGCTCTCCTCCTGGATGTGATCGTAGGCGGAATCCATAGCTACGACTGTCCAGAAGGGAGGCGAGGTGTAGGGGAGGTCGTGTATAGGGTGGGGGCTAAGGATGTTGTTGTGGTCGTGAGACACAGGCTGGTTGGGTCAATCAAGGGTGCAGGTCAAATGCGGGCGGGGCCATGCATGAAGCTCCGCAATTGCCGCTAGCAGTTGGGCGTACATCACCAGCTCAGGCACGCTCGCGTTACACAAACAATGGTCAGGGCTGTTGACGCGACGATAATGAATTCATTTTGAGTCTGAATTTCCTCTTCCGATATGCTCAAAGGTGGTCATCACACCGGCCTAATGGCGTCGCCACTCGCTGCTGATGTGCGCGCTTGCTGCGCGGTGTCTGTTGTGTGCATTCATAGATCCCCGTCTATGTAGTGGTCACCCACATCATCCATAGCACTTCGACTGCCTCAGCTGGCTTGGTATCGCTGCTCCTCTTTCCTCCCTCTCCTCTTCATCTCTTCTTCTTGCCAACCACCGTCGTAAAGCCGTCCTCATCAATCTCAGGCTCAAGCTTAGCCTTCGGTTTCGCAGGCACAAGCGCAGGCACATCATCCATATCGACATCCTCATCCTCATCCGTCTCCTCATCCACACTATCCCCCTCAAAGTCCTGATTCGTCTCCTTGACATTAACACTCCCAGTCGCAACCTCCTTGCCCTTCCTATCTTCCCACTTCTTCTGCAGCGCATCCACCATCGCTGTGTTGCCCTCGCCAATCTCCTTCCGTATCGCCATGATCTCGCGCGCAACGGCGACTTCGGTCTCGTCTTCTACGCGCACGCCGAATTCGTCCTCGAGGACTTGTAGCAGCACAACTTCGACATCTTCTTGGTCTGTGAGGGGTTCTGCGGCGAAAAGTTCGGAAATTTGGCCTGCGAGCCAGTCGCGCTTATCGGAGGAGTCGGGGCCGCCCCATTGGTTTTGGACAGCGACGGTGAGGTTGTTCCAGTTAAAGAGCGCGTGCCAGATTCCGAGGTCGAATTTGTCCTGGTGTTGCTCTGCGGGGGACGTTAGAAAATGAGTGTTTAAATCGGTGCGACTACTCACCTGCGATTGGGCCGAATGCTGAAGTCATTTTGGGTTGTGTTGCTGAGAGAATCGCTGAGCGTGGGTTTGCGTGACGGAATATCGACAATTTTGCCCGTTATCGATAGTGGACTTGAGTCGCCCCGCCATTATTTCATCACGCACACGTGAAGACGCGACACCGCGTTCCGCCACAGTCAATGCAGGTTATTAGCGTCGCATTTGCTTTTTGCAGGTGAATCTGCATATCCGACGTGATGCGTCTGATATTGGGTGTGGTCTCACGATTTCCTCACCAACCACTCCAATTCCTTCGCCTGTTCATCCGTAACAATCTGCTTGAACTTGTCCATCGTGAGGAAATCATGATCCGAGAATTCAAAGCCGGGTATTACAGTCTGAAGAGTCGCGTTAGTCAGACGTATGTAGTCACTGATCATGGGTGAAAGCACATACCTCGCTGATCAACAACCTCTCCCCGTCCGCTCCGTCGAGCAGATAACTCGCCTTGTACTTCCCGCCCTCAACAATCCACACGCTCTTCTCTCCCTTCGTGACGTCGGTGCCAACAACGAAAGTTTCGATGCGTTTCTTAGTGCCAGGCTCGTCGGCGTGAATCAGGACGTAGCGACCTCGACCTGAGATGAGGGTGTGTACCTATAGACAGTATTCAGTATCAGTAATTCACTACTACTTTTGCCTGCATTCCAGGTCCTGAGAAATAGCGTTCCAACATACCGTCCTCCCCTTATTACGATGAAAGTGTCCCTGAGGATTCACTGCACTCAACATATAATATATGCTCGTGCTCGCGTTCCTGATTGCATTGTCACCTGACATGGGTTTCTCCGCCGTGTTCTTCACATCCTCTTCCTCATCGCCGCCGTTCTTCACTAAGAAAGGGTTCGGAATGGTGAGAGGATTGCGATCGATTTCGGCATAGTAGCCGCCTTCGACATGTACCTGGAGACCGAGTGCTGAGATGACGGCTTGGGTTTTGGCGGGTTCGGTACCGGAGGGGTCGGGAGTGTAGATTTGGGTTATTTTCTCTGTGGTGGAAGAATTGGGCGACATCTTGGTTGCGGGACGATTAGCTGGCTCGGTGTGGATGGGATGGGATGCGTGAGGCTGTTGGTGTTGGTGATCGATGACGTTATCGCCACTAGTCGCTGATAAGATGAGCAGGAAGTCGCGCTGCAACCCTCAGACAACATCGACGCGTCCACGTCGTTCACTTCCAACACTTCAACACCGCGCGACGGCATCCGACCTCAGCGCAAGATCTGACACCAATGAAATGGCGCACTCTTCGACGGTGGCGTTCACTGCACCCGAAGCCAACGGCATGTACGCACGCTTCGGCGTACAAGCCCTTCTGATCCAATCATCGAATGCTACATCGGATGAGTACAGCCTTGGTTAATTTGCGACGACATACTTTCCCCATGCATGCTATCGGATGGTGGGTGGACGGCCAATGATGTCGAGGTAGGCCCCCGCATGCATGCTTCATGCGGCACAGTCGCTGCAAGGCTGTATTGCATCTTGTTTCTCCCTCCCAGTTCGCCTTACTTCTTACTCGCCTTCCATACCTTCCGCAATAATGGGATGTTGCAATTTGTTCAGATTTCCTCGCGGAAAGGATCGAGACAGGCCTAGGATACCGGCACCACAAGTCGCTGTGCCCACCAGTGACGACTTGCAAGAGAAGCGGAGCGAGGAGGGGCCGAAAACCTCCTCCACGACGGATCTACAGTCACCGAGCACCAGCACCCCAGAACTGGTAGCGGAGAGCTTACCCGGACGTCTATGGAACCTGGCATACGACCAGCTCATATCAAAGGATCCGAAATTGATCGAACACTATGAGAGCATCCTATCAAGCCAAATCGATGGACAAGAGCTTAAGGCCGTGGACCTCGATACACAGATCAACAACATCAGCTCAGGGCAGCCAAGATCACTGCAGATGCGCCAGCTCGTTGACTCTGGATTGCTCAGGACGGAGAAGGCAGCTGCGACTAACGAAGCACTCGCGCAAGGCCTGCAGGTGTTCAATGTCGTCAAGGATAGCGTCGCAACAGCTACCAGAGCTTCTCCAGAAGCCTCTATAGCTTGGGTACCGATCTGCCTTGCTCTTGATGTATGGCTGGCGAACTTTGATGATGCAAGCACATGGCTGATGCATGTCAGATACTCATGAATCCACTCACCCAACAGTCTTTTAATAGAGATGGAATCGCTTACGTCGTATCGAGGATGGATTGGTACTGGCATCTAGCTGATCTTCTCCTAGAGAGAAACCAAGAAGCCCGACGATCGCAGCCGCTGCAAGATCAACTCGAGAAGAATCTCGTCGACCTTTACACTCGTCTTCTGGCATACCAGATCAAAAGTATCATTACATACCATCGCAAACGTGGCACTGTTTTTGCAAGAGACCTTGTCAAGTGGGATGATTGGGAAGGTGAGCTGGCTGCCATCAAGGAGATGGAAGAATCGATACGCCAAGATGCAGCTCAATTCAGCACGCATGAAATCCGCAACGAACTCCAAACTATTGCGAAAAAAGCCAAGTCACAGGACATCAGCCTGCATAACATTGTGACGAGTATCCAGGAGCAAACCGCGCACTCTCTGGCGTATACGAAGAGTGCCGCGGACAGCAAGTGTCTCCAAGACCTGTTCCTGACGAACCCCAGTCACGACAGGAAAAGGCTCAAACATGGAAAAGGAGGATTATTGGATGCCTCTTTCCGATGGATACTTGACAATGCGGAGTATCGGCGTTGGCGGGATGACCGTGAAGAGCGATTACTCTGGGTTGAAGGGTGAGTTAGCAGCATTCGATGTCGTGGTTTGATGAGGAATACGTACTAACAACTTCTAGTTCACCCGGTCAGGGCAAAACAATGCTTATGTGCGGCATCATTGACGCACTCGCGCAAACTGTGGCGGCGGGTGATCTCATGTCTTACTTCTTCTGCCAGACATCGGAACCGAACAATAACAACGCAACGGCAGTCTTACGGGGCCTCATCCATTATCTGATTGGCCAGCAGCCCTCACTTGTACGCTATGTACGGCTGGAGTATGATCGCGTGGGCGAAAAGTTATTCGCCGACGCGAATACATGGACAGCTCTGTCCGGGATCATTACCAGTATGCTAGACGACATGTACATACGACATGGGAAAATCTACCTCATCATAGACGCTATGGACGAATGCATCGACCCCGAAGATCGAAGAAGACTCTTGGAACTGATTGTACAGATTTCAAGAAAGCTACCACACACCAAGTGGATAATCTCCTCACGCGGCTGGAACGATATTCGCGATGTGCTTACTGAGCATCCTCAAATGCTCCATCTTCAACTCGACCCCAAATCCGAAGCTATACTTGATGCAGTCGATACCTACATTGAACACAAAGTCAAAGCGTTGACTGATAAGAAGAGATTGGGCCCAACGGATACCGAAACGATCCGCGACTACCTAAAGAAGAATGCTGGAGGGACCTTCTTATGGGTAGCGTTAGTCTGCAAGAGGTTAGAGCTCTCGAAACGCATGTTCTACAAAAAGGACATGCAGTCCTTCCCTCCTGGGCTCGAACAGCTGTACGGAAGGATGCTCCAGCAAGTTCAGAGCTTAGATGAGCGGGAATCGAAGCTTTACAAGTTTGTGCTCGGGGTAGTGCTAATATTACCAAGACCTCCTCAGACATACGAATTGGCCCATTTAGTGAAAGAGCTAGACCAGGTTGGCGATAAAGTAGGAATGATGCGAGACATCATTCGAGAATGTGGGTCATTTCTCTCAGAGCAGAATGACAAAGTCCTCTTTGTCCACCAATCCGCGAAAGACTACCTACTGGGCCATGGCAAAAGTGCTGTATGCCCGGACGGAGAAAAGTCGTTGCGTCTTCATACGCTCTACAGATCGATTGAGGTTTTGGTAACCTTTACCCGAGAAGAAGCGATCAAGGAGGCTTCTGAACGAAGGGGTTATATGCGTTACTTGCAGAGGTCTCTCATGGACGGGCACTCACTGAAAAGAACCTACGTGCCTCAAGCGGCTTTTGAAGATGTGGGTGTCCCTCTCGTTATTCTCATCGAACAGTGCTTTACGTGGAATCGTTTGTTGTTCGATCGAGAGGTCTGGGAGGAATGTAAGTTCCTCCACTCTTTTATTTTGCAGCTCAGAGCTCTATTGAAGGTATGTACTAGCCACCAAGTTGTCTGCTCTCTTTTAACAATTGTTAGAATTGTCGCGACTCATCTGAGCGTGACGAAATGACCCAACTAATCCTACAGTCCATGGAAGCAAAGAATCAAATTATAGAGGATGGCCACGGAAGCATTCGTTGCACTTGGTTTTGACCCACGACACGGGCGTTAAGATAAACCAATCCTTTCACAGACAAACGGATGTTGCGATAGACCCCGCTAACTGTTCAAAACAACTGCCCATACTCTGATTCCCCGATACGAGGCACATCAACCTCTCCTGTATGATAACGAACAGAACTTTGTCCAGTATCAGCACTAGAAACCTGATCCATCAGGTCCAATCCGCCAGCTTCGGGAGTGTTGACAGGATACTACGCAGCTGTGGCGGTATTACACACTATTTCATTGCGGAGATCAAAAGTAGTAGGGTTCTGTAGCTCCGATACGGCATGTTTTGGCAGTATTCAAGCCTATGAGGCTACACGGTCGTGGCTAGAACGTATCCATCAATCATCTTGCACAACACGATCTTTATTGTATTCAGGAGGCGCGCTGACATTGTGGTCTGCGTCGAACTGGATGTACATGCCTTCATCCAATGTATCACACACCGTAACTTGTCATAGATCCCCCCAAATTAGTCGAGCCAATGTTCCACGACAGACGTAGCAGCCGATACGCAGACAGTTGTCACACAATAAGATCCACCCAAATACTCGGCTGACCCAGATTATGACTAGACTGGCCCAATCTCCTCTTCTACTTCATCGTTCACATTGTCAGCCACGCCTTCGTCGTTCTCGTAAGCCGCCAGATCAGCACGCTTGGTAGGAACGAGCACTCCAACGCTTCCACACAAGCACCCTAGAGAATGTCACAAACTGAAGTAGCCATGCGAGACCAAGAGGAAGCTGTCAACACGGGCCATCAACCGTCTCAACCCTCCCCTGACAATGAGCCCGACACATCTGCTCAGTCCAACAAACAACCCGAATTGATCGCGAACGAGGAACAATCTGAAGCCGAGCGCCCGGAAACCCACGAATCGGACAACGCAGCAAGCCGCAAACAAGCACCCAAGCGGAGACCTGGACTACTGAGCGAAGAGCAACGGCTGGCTGTGAGGATTCGTCAGGCCAAGACAACCTGCACTCGTTGCCGTGAGAGGAAGATACGTTGCAGTGGTGATCCCGGTGATGGCTCTGGGTGTAAACACTGTCAGATATGTGGCGTTGGGGAGACGAAGTGCCGATTTGGGATTGTGGGATCAAAAGGCGTGGTGGAAGTAAAGGGTTGAGATTATACTTTGATCACTTGGAAGGGCCTTCGGGTAGAGTAAAGTAGCCGCTAGTTGTACGTATTAAAATATTTTGCTAACTTCTTAATAGTATGTAGCCTCCTTGCTACGCTTTAGCTAAGGCAATTGTGAAATATCTTATTAGGCGCGCTAGCAGCTTGATAGACGAGGACCAATATTTCAGTTTTAGGGTTCGCGATCAGGGACTCATCTTGCTATCCATTGTTCATGCTGGAAGAGATTGAACTGTCAACTAGGCGTTTCTGATCCTCTCCTACATCTAGCGTATCTTACGTCTCTTCTCTTCTCTAATTGTCTTAACTATAATCACTTTTCTCATAACCTGCTTGCTGCGTTTCCTAATTCTCGCCTCTAGCCAAAGAAGCTTCCTCCTCAATCTCTTCTTGACCTTAAGTCTTAGTGTCGTTCAACGCCGCTGTAGAAGCTAGCTCACTAGCAGCGGCAGACTCCTCTCCTTCTTCCTGCGGCAAACCCCTAAAGTAATCAAGAGCAAACTTAACATCGCTAATCGAAAGCGCCTTGTGGCCATCTTTACGCATCGGTCTGTCGGCACAGTGCCCCTTGATAATCTTCCACGCATCATCTTTCCGCTGCATTCGAGTTATCTTAGCTAGCTCGTAGAGCAGCTCCAAGACCTCACCGTTTCGATTAGTTCCGTACCTTTTCAACTCCCGGTTTCGATTTGGTATCTTGTTGTATCTTTCGAGCATGTTAACCGGGATGAGATCTCTGCAGTCTTGTACTTGCCAGTAATGGTTGATCCAGAGGTTCCACTTTCTGTACTTGTCTTTTTGGCTATCCGTGGGAAGTATGGCAGCTGGAAGAGCAACTGAGTTGTTATTGTGCTGATTGATGGATGCAACGGTCGTGTCTACTGTGGCAGATGTTTCAGAACTTTCGCCGGGCTCGATGGCGTCGTCTGCGTCGTCCGTATCATAAGGCGAATCGACTACCTCGTCATCATCAGATGTGAGCTCGATGGACTCTGCTTCTGCCCAAATTAGCTCTTTTGCGATTTCGAACAAAGTATACGACACGAGCATACCTTCATCGTCCGCATACGTGTCAGGCATCTTCTCCTTTCCCTCGTTGTATCTCCGATCTCGAACATATGATATGTCGCTCAGCTGTATCTCTGCTGACGAGCTGTCCTTCATCCTCTTCATTTTGCCCTCTACCAGTAGATCGTAGACGTCGTTCCCGTTTTCGATACCTGGCATTTCGTCGGCGAGGTCACCCAAGGCCCGCAGGATTTCGATAGGCCACCACTGAAGGTCTTTCGGGTAGCGCATAGTTAGAGGAATGCACGCAGTGCTTTCGGTGGTGATTTCCCACTGAGATGTAATCTTCGTCGCGAGAATTATTCGCTCTTCACGATCGGGATGGTCCTTTGGTAGATCCATGGTGTTATCGACAGTGAAATGAGAATCTTGAGACTGACCGGAGAGCGTTCCTACTACTGATATAGATGGGTAAGATGGCAGTATTCTATTTGCTACTGTCACGCGGGACAATGCAAAAGACTGTGATTGCCTGTGAAGACAGCAAGCATCCGTGGTTATGTATCACATCTCTCTTGATCAAGAAACGTGATCGCCGGGGCTTTGACAATGGAATCATAATTCCCTGAGTAACCGCACAAACTTCCGCAATCCCTACGACCAATCCGATCCATAGTACTCATCCGAATCCTCGAGCGATTCCTCGTCTGTAGTGGTAGCTTCTTCGCTATCATCTGCATCATCTCCTTTCAACCATTGATCTAGTCTCTTTATCTGCTTCCGCGAGACAACAAAACGTTCCTCATACGCCGCCCGAACTACGATTCTTGTTCTTGACTTGAACGTCGCGGGATGCGATAACACGAACAACACTGCGTTGTACACTTTGTCGCCATTCATTTTATCATCCTCAAATTCGCCCAGCAGGATGAGATACAGCAACCTGAAAGCGGTGTCGCGTGCTTTCGACTTAAGACCCTTGGTATCTTCATTCTCTGGGTCCCAATCTATCCTGCAGAGCCTCAGATCGCTGAAGATCTGGTCGATACGTCGTTTTTCGAGGACATTAATGCCGAGAAACTCGTATGTTTCGCAGAGAACGTGGTACTGTTGAAGTTCGGGGGGAAGATTCCTGAAGCATTGACGATAACCCGATTGGATTCCCTTCAAAGCTACGTCGAAAAGTGGTATTGGGCCGTGGACCAACTCGGTCGCGTCGGGCTGGGCTTTGGCTTGGAAATCGGCAAAGGACGACAGATAAGGTATCTGCGAGAGGTCGACATCGTATTTGACATCTCCGATCGTGATAAGAGTATCTTTGGGGGTACTATCCACTTCTGAAGGTGCATGCTGCCGAGTTGCAGGATAGCATCAGTCTCGCCCGCTTCTCTGAGGTCCAAAATTGCCTACCTGAGTTGGTGCATGCGTGTTTGGGGCGGGATTCTCGCTCGTCATTCTGAAGCTGGGGCGATTGGGCTTTTAGTAACACGCTAACCTAGGAAAACACTAAACAGCCTAGAGCCTACGTTAATTTTAGGTTACCTACTTTGCAAGTTTTTGTCCTAATGTAGTCTGCAGACCTGTCTACCTAGTCTTTTCTTCTTATGTGGTGGTAAGAGCGAAACAGCTAACGATGCGGGGTAACTCGCTTCCAACCCCCAAACTTGCGCGTCGTTGGAGAAAACAGCTCATAGAGGCTTCGAGTTGGTCATGTTCGTACTCTTACTGCTGTGCGACATTGGATCTGCAGTGTGCCACACGTCTATTGGCACATGTCGGAAAGGTCAAGCCCCACGCGCCATTGAGGCGCAGTAATAAACAACTTAGAACGCTACAATTGTACGTGACAGTCGCGGGCACCACCAGTCATGTCATGTACTAGCTCGAGGTCTAATCTGCACTATGTCTTATCTACATTGCTTTAACCTCTTGCCCATTCTCAACCTCCCCATGTTGTGGTGCGTCCACCGTCTCAAACATCACGGCTCAGTTTTCTGGTGATTCTTGCGCCTCCTCCGGCTCCAGCTCATCGTACTCCTGTTCTGCACGCTCATCCTTCTTGTCATCACCCGTCTTGCCACTCTCCTCATCAACATCTGCCACATCTTCGTCTAGCGAATGCCGTCTCTTCCTCTTTGGCGGCAAGGTCGCTGCTCCACGCGCTTCGTGTACGCTCGAGGCAGCCTCGTCAACCGTAGCGTCGTGGGTCGCTATGCTACTCGCGCAGTCCTTGTCACGTCTTACCATGACTGAGGAGCGTCGGCTGTCAGCCCTCGAGGGTTCTGCCCCTGCGACATCCGTGCCGGGCAGCAGCGTTTGGGAATCGGCGCTGTCGTGGGTGTGGGGTTGGGTGGCTCGAGATTCGCGTCGTCGTCTCTTCCGTTGCCTTCCATCGAGATGCTGATTTCCCCGCTGGGTGTTCATCGCGCCATCCTGACCCTCCTCGCCGGTAGTGCCGTCGGGGTTTGAAGGTGCAATAGGTAATTGCTTTCGACTGTTGGTAACAGAGTCATCATCTTCTTCTTCTTCACGTAGGTCACGGAAGTGATCAAGAGCGACTTTGACGTCTGATTCTGCAAACGCTTTGCCTCCTCTTGCCTTCCACGCCTCTTCTATCTGCGCCCATGCTGCATCCTTTCGACCTTTTGTGATGCGAGCTAGCTTGTAGAGTACCTTCAACAGATCCTTTTGGTCGCTGGAGCTGTGCAGCGCCCGATTGGTCGGCTTTCCAAATTTGTCTAGCTGCCGCATGTCCCGGGGAACAAGGGCTTTGATATCAGTGACGTTCCAGTAGTATTGGATCCATAGATCTAACTTCAACTTCAAAGTCTCCGGCTCATCTTCGTCTTCTGGAAGTATTCGTTCTGGACGCTCTTGGGGATGTGTAACATCGTTCTGGACTGGGGCGGCTTCCTCATCTACCGTCACAGCCGCCGGTTCCAGTTTAACGCTTTCTCGGACATGTTCTACATCGGATAGCTGTAGCTGCGGTTCAAAAGTAGCCGACTCTTCTGCGGTTGCCTTCCTCATTAGGTAGCCGGTGTTGAGGAGATTCACAAATCGGTCCCGTCCCTCCTCACCCGGCATCCTACGGGTTAGATAGGTTATGGCTCGTAAGATGGGTAGAGGCCAGGTGGCAATGAGTCCAGGGTATCGCATGTCCGCTGGGATGACGTCTGTGGGGTTTGCGACTTTCCATTGAGATTTGATGGTTCTGACCATGCTAAAGCGCTCGTCATGAAAGGAGGAATTAAAGACTAGTGGCATGGTGTTATCGGTATTACGTAGTCTCTGCGGTGCTCAACAGAGACCGCGGAGATTGCAAATATATATGGCCGAGCTTTTCCGTTGCGTCGTTTGCTCTGCCGGTCGTGAACACGCTGGAAGAAAGTAGTCGTTCATAGATCTCACAGATGTTTCTAGCCTCGTCAGGCAATTGCTGCTACCCTTGCAGATTAAAGTCCCAAAGCAACGCACTATCGACATTCAAAGGAGTCTCCATATTCAACATCTCGCCCTCGTCAATCTTAGTACCCGGCTGACAACTCCCCATCAAATCCGCATCCGACCACGATGGAAAAGCCCCAATCGAACCAAACGGCTGCTGATACCCAGGCACCCCCGCATCCGTCCCAGGGCTCGAGCCCGTACCAAAATGAGACGACACAGTCGCACTGTCACTACCCATCTCCTCCGTCATCATGCGTGCACTCGTATCACGTATCGCCTCATCCAGCATATCCGACAGATAGCGCGCAGCGAGAAACGCCATGTCTGATTTGCGACCCAGATACCAGAGCCCCTCGATGCAATCGCGACATCTCCGTATTGCGTGATCGCGTTCTTCTTCGATCGTTTCCGACGCCACGACCTGCACCAAGACGTAGCCTGCTCTGCATAACGAGCGCACGAAAGCCACAGTCCACGGCTCTGTCAGCAGCGCGGCTTGGCTGAGCGCAAAGTGGAACTCATCTGTTCCTTCTTTCTCTTTCACACTGTGTATGCTGGCAAGACTCAGGTCGGCGACGGCCAGTGCATTTTGGCGGCGCAGTGTATCCACGAGGTTTGATGACTGTCGGAGGGTGCGCTCGTTAGGCGAAGAGAGTTTCGTCTTGTCGATTGTGAGGAGTAAGTCGGAAAGTAGGAAGGTAGCGAGATGCCAGTGGCCTGCTATCAGTGTGTACCAGGATTGTACGCGTGTGGGGAGGGTGGCGTGGTGCTTTACGCAGTCGGAGAAGAAGGGCGCGTACGTGCGATGCCAGTGGTTGTAGACGTGGAATGCGCCGTTTATACCTGACTGCGCGTGAGATTGTCAGCTACAAGCCACGAAGATAAAATGGCATATCTCTGTACTCACCTCGATCCTAGCTGGCGAAACCTTCCGCGATACCAACGCTTGGAGATGTGCGACGCGTCTGTATAGTAGTACTTTCACTGGTGCGGCGGAGCTGAGTGTTGCGGCGGCGACCTTGTAGCTACATGGCCATCGCGCTGCTCCAGGGTCTACTTCCAGTATGCCATCGCGCGTGAAGAGATCACCCCACACCGCATTGCCTTCCTGGGCCTGAGTTGCTTGAGGGTCAGTGGAAAGGTTGGAAAGATTTGTCGGCATTGCAAATTGGTGCGTGTAAGTGGTAGGAGGATCAGACCATGTGAACGGCTCGGTATACGTGTCGTTGGTTGGAGGTGGTAATTCGCTATCTTCATCGTCGACCACTACTGGTCGTTGGGAAATCGCTGCGGATAGGGTATCGAACATAACGCCAAACCAGTACAAAAGGTTGAAGGTATCTCTGTCTTCTTGCTGAAGGGGGTCTCGTCCCAGGTCTTGTTCTACGCGTTCCAGTCTCCGTCGTTGGGCGAGTAGCTGTCGCAAAGCTATCTCCAAGAATATAGGGGCGTCATCGTCTTGTACTAGGGCTTGAAAGTGTTCGTAATGCGTTCGTAACCTGGGATCCGTACGTGCATGTAGCTGTGTGGTGTCTAGGGGCCGTTGGGTCAGCGAGAAGATGATCAAGGCAAAGATGACTCGGAAAGAACCGATGTCAGCAGCCTCGTGTAGCAGCTTAGCTGTTTGATGCCAGAGTGTCTCTTGCATGGATCGCTCAAACTCATTCGACTGGGGAAACCTGTCTGCCGTAAACTGATGGTCAGTCGCACGACCTCCTGCCCCTCTTTCGCCCGCTTGAGCCCATTGTGACGCGAAAGACATAATGACCATGTTGAGTGCTTTGGAGATTGTACGTTCTTCCTCGTTTGTTGGTTTCCGGATGCGAAGGGATGCGTAGGCTCGATCAAGTTGAAGTACACGGTTGTACATTCTGTTTGACCAGGTACCACTCCATTCCCGTGTAGCCTTACTCGCCGAGAGGAGAGACGGCTTGTAGCGCGTCATCGTGTACGGGCAGTTGTGCTCTGTGAGCCAACATGAGAGAGAGTTTTCCATGCTGTCGTTGTAGATGCGTAATAGCCCGTTGGTCACAAACCCTCGAGACGTTCTCTCCCCCAACAGTATGTCCATGAATGGAGATGAGGCATCGTCTCTCTGGTTTCGACGATGAGGACGCAGAGCGAAAGAGTTTCTCCGTGAGTATCGCGGCTGGAGCAATCCTTGCTCATTGTTCCTCCCCAACTGCACTGAGTCTAGATCCAGCGAATGTATCGATTCGTCGGATATGTTATCCACGTCGTCACTCGGCGGGTTTGTGAAGTAGTCCTCGCGCGTCTCGTCTTCGTCTTGGGATGATGACCACTGTGTCCATCGATCTTGTAGTTCGTGTTGACCTTCGTTCGCCGTAGATCCAGGTGGTACTTGATGCTGATAGCTGACAGTGCTACTTGCTGCATGTTGTTCGAGCTGATCTCTATCACTCTTCTCCTCTGAGCGCCTCCTCTTTCTCTCTCGCTCTGGATGAGTCACCGATGCTGTCTTCAACCAGTTGAAGGTGCAGACTTGGTTCTTTCGAAGGCAGTTGGAGCAAGTCTGGTTCGCAAAGTCGACGCGTTTGTCTGCATCGCAAGCTCGTTTGCCGCGCTTGCATGAGTCGCAGCTGCGCATCTGTTGGCGGCGAGGGGGCTCGGGAGGTGCCGTAGGCTGTGGGACCGCGGACGATGGATTCGCTGGCGTCGCCGAATTGTCGGAACCCTTTGAATGAGGTTTACCTGTCACCTCACTCATAGTGCTGCTGTCAAACGTCTTCAACATCGTTGCGGTCCAAGTTTGTAAACAAAGGAGAAGATGAAACCCTGGGGTGAAGATGGATAAATTGGCGATAGCCGTTCATAACACCTCAGTGTATACATGGTACCCGGTATGCGAATATTGCTAAGCGCGGACGCGTACAGGCCCTTGCCGCGACCCCGCTTTTTCGCATTCATCTTATCCCATGCGGAGGATCAGCTACGAGGATGAGAAGCCTCAAAACTCTTCTAGACGTCATAGTGAAGATCTCGTCCGTCTGAGTGGTGAAAAGCGCATTTGAGTTCCGTCACTTCCCGGCATGCATCAAACCATGGAATGTGACAGTCGTGCTCGAGAGCGCCTCGCGTGGGAAAGCTGAAGCAGGAGTGTCAGTGAATCGGTCCGCGCTGGCAGGTTGGGTTCTGGAAAATCGTCAACTAAATTGATAGAGTCCGCGCGATCCCCTTTCTGGACTAGTGTCCTTACGGCGTCTACTAACCGATCTCCGATTCCCACCACATCCCGACTTGCTTCATCTCACGTCAGTCCCTGCCGCAAAAGAATATAAGATCAGCTTCGACGTCGGTGTCCCCGGGTCTTGGTTACTTGGTACCTCGGCGACTTGCATTGGCCCAAGAGACGCGATGGTTCAACGTCTATGAAAAGTAGGAGCTGCGCTCAACGACGCTTGCAACGCTCTTCTCCCAGCCGCACCGCCACCAAAGCACCGGGACGGAAGTCTAAAATGCAGTACATGCCGATCCGCTTGACCTTCACGCACGCATCACTCGAGACGTTTGTCATGCTCCATCCCTGCTGGCATTCACCAGCAAGGTACAGGACGAATCTCGGGAAAAGCGCTTGTCAGATCTGGCTCCACAGCAAGGATACCTTACCAAGTGACTCCGGAGAACAGGCGGATTTCATTCTGGAACGTTACTTCCACGGTGCAAGGCACGAGGAACCCGTTTGACACGCGTGGGGGTCGGGACATGGCCAGGATCTCTCGACGCATGTGAGACGATGATCATGGACAGATTGGTGTGGGATGGCATTGCGTAGTCGTATTGTAGCCGTATCAACGGGAACACTCTCGGACCTTTACAAAGTATCGCGCTCTTCCGCTGGCATAGAAGCGCGTTGTATGGGGCTCGTCACGAGGCGGACTGCAGCCCATCGGGTGATCGTACCGCGAACAGGCAGGTCAGGAAATCACACCTATGGACGATACTCCGTGTTGTCCCAACTGAGACTTGGGCACTTGATACTGTTTCATCTTGAGAACCTTCTACACTCTCGGCTGTTGGCATGCGTCCCGTTGGATGATGTGTTAGTGTGCGGCTCCACGACCATGGCTTTTTATCCGATGCCCGTTGGTTAATTGTGGTGCGGTTCTGGTGAAATCACTCCGACTCCGCGTGATCGCTGTGGTTGTTATCTTCTATTTCTTTGGACAAGAACGATGTAGGTAGGAGACCCTTTGTGCTACCCCGTGCCAGGGCCGTCATCTTCCATCTGTAGGTGTTGAATATTGCTGTCCTGGCTTGTTACTATCGGAAATGTCCCCAGCTGAGCATACAAACAGGCTGGTACAATTGTCGTGGCTATCGGAACCCATGTATCATCGCATCATATCAAGGGTAACGATAGTAAGATAGGTAACGGGCATTATCGCGTATAATAGTACCTATTAGGTAAAGTAGAGTGTATTATAACCTAGACAACTCGCTACCGAGGTAGCCATCTCTTGGGATAGATTAGATACTTCTAGACCTTGCTTACCCGGCTCGGACAACAAGTATAATCCAAATCTGCGTACCTAGACTTTCCTAACCTGCATACGCGCTTTAATTTGAATGATCTTTTTTTAAGAATCTAGTGTGCAATCATGTGCTTGCAGTTACATACACTTACAATTCGGAAAGTTGCAAATATAATATACTACTTGCAGCTACTGCACGCCTTGTATAAGTTACGAGGAATTCTACTTACAAAGTAATTAAGGAACTAATACCTTATTTAGAAGTTCTTAACCTGTAAAGAGGCTTCTACGCCTCTTTTTATCATTACTAGATACTTGTACAAAGGCAGCGGACTACGTATAGTGACTAGCCACCTTCTAAAAACAGAGCTGATGTGCAAGTATAACTTATTTTTCAACTACATCTGAAGTGCTAATTGTAGCCTCTTTTCCCTAAACTCTACTACATCGTATGCTCTGCTAAGATATAAACTCCGGTTACCAAGCAAGGATATTTCTACGAGGTCGAAGCACAAGCCGGCTTTCAGCGTACACTGTATCTACATTATCGAGATCCGCATCAACTCCAGCGTCTACCCGTCTTCGTCGTCCAACCTAGTTTAATTACTAGGTCTAATCTACTATCTACAGGGCGAGTCTAAGTAGGCGAACCAAGGCTAACTTTAATAACCCATGTCAAAAGCATCGAGATAGAAAACACACCTGCAATACATACATACATCCTATCACTTAACCCGTGTCAAAATTCAAGCTCTACTACATCCATCACCACTCCCCTGCTCAAGAGCCACTGTTCTATCCCGTCACGCAGCATCCCACACAAAGACAATACTCAGAAAAACAGAACCAATCAGCACACGCGTACACAATAACAACTTCAAACAAATCCTGTAGATTCATTCCATTCTATTCTCTGACTTCTGGCCATGACGCCACATCGTTAGATATCCCTACCCTACTAACTGACTAACAACCATATCTTGTTGCGAAAAAAAATACCCCAACACCAAAAAGGACCTCACCAAGTACCACACTGGCCCAGGAAAGATCAAGAACAATTAACAAGAAACGAAGGGTATATGCCGCGAAAGCGAGCCAATTGAAGAAGTAGTACTAAAATCAACACCAGAAACTCCAAAAAGACAGATATATTGTGAAACTGGCTTTTATGCTGCGCTTATATTTTTGACGAGAAAAAAATGAATTTGAGCGTATCGTGATGCCATAAATGGGTGATTGATATGTGGTCGAAGAGTCGCTGGCCGGTTTCCATAGCAGAAAGCCACAGGGGGGATCTGTAGCTGGCCACCACAAATTCTCCGTATGCGACATTCGCCTGACGAAGAGGGATTGTTGTCTCTCCCGAAGCGACAGCACTCGACACGGCAACCTCTGCGCATCGGCTGGTAGCTCGATGTCGCAGAAGGGGGGTTAAGGTTCGGCGGATGCCGGGGCCTCACACGTACTCAGGCCAGTAGTTGTATGGCATAAGAGTAGGACCAGTCCATTTCTCGCCGTAAGGGTTCGTGCGCTTGCCGGCAATGAATCCGTCGTGGGCGTGTTCAAGGACCGAGATCCATGACGAGGGTTCTGGATGCTTCATCCACTGAGATGCATTGTTAGCGTATGTTCTTTGCTTTTCCTTCTTTTGTGGAGAAGAAGCCGTTGCCAAGATACTCGCTGCAGGGACATTGGACTAGATGTGCAGAAGCGGGGTTGGGGTGGCAACAACATGTGGAAATTCTGTTGAGACTTACCTGGTTGTGAATGTGATATGTCCAGGCACCCCGGAAGAAGTTCTCCAGCGTGCGGTTGTTGGGAGGAAATTTGTCTTCTTCCAAGACGTAGTCAGTAATCACGCCAGCTTTTCTCAGCTCAGCCTCCTCGTCAAGCGTGGCTTGGAACGAATCGGGGTGCTCTTTGTCGCCGTGATTGGGAGTTGGGAGCGCAGCGGACGCGGGTACGTTGTCTTCCCCGCGTTTGGCCAAGGAATCGCTGGCGGGCATTCTGAGCTCTTTGCGTTGCGCGTCTTTGAGGTCGATACGGTTGAGCTGTGGGCCGTCATAACTCTCCCACTCATCCTTGACGCCACCAATCTTGCCCTTGAAGACTGCGCTGTAGTCTCGGATACACGGCACAGTGCAGCGTCCTTCGCGGTCCCAGTTGAACTCCGTCCAGATAGGATCAAAGGCGGCGGTCTCAAACATCTTGAACTCCTGGTCGCGTCCGTCTTTCCAGGCCATGCGACCTAGCACGCGGGGGTGGAAGTTGACGCCCATTCTGATACCGCCGTAGAGCAAGTAGGATGAGAGGGAGGAGTTTGCCGAGAGTGACATGATGGCAGTGTTGTAATCACCGGGGTGAGGATGTGCCGCCCATCTTTCTGCCCAGGCATGCTCTTTCGGCAGTAGAAGTGGTCGCATGTCCCGGAGCATCAGAACATCCATGTCGAAGTAAGCACCGCCGTAGATGTGTAATACGATGAAGCGGACGGCATCGGATACGGCGACCGGAAGAAATGTCATCTGCTTCTGGGTCAGGACAAGCCACTGCTGGCCATCCTTGTCTTCAATAATGTTCTCGGCCACGTCCTTCTCTCCCCTGGCGTTCACCGCGCCGGGCTTGCTGTAGTAGTCGAAACCGTTCTTGTCTTCCTTGTCGGTAGCCAGTGGAATGCGGTTAGGGAACTTCCAGGGCATCACAACAATGTCACCTCGCTCGACCAGAGGCAGGAAACGGGCAAATAGAGCATCCTTGTTCAGCATGTTGTAGACGGCGTTCGGGTTGTGGTCGGTGTCAAGCCATAACCAAAGACGAGAGCAAGCCAGGTTCTGGGTGTAGAGGTAACTCTTGATGAAGACCTCCACTCGCCAGGTCGCGGGGCCAGTCCAGTAGGTGTGGTATGGGATGATAGGGCCAGGGCAGGTGCCGATGTTGGTTCCGTTGGCAGCAATCGCGTCGTTCACAGGGGTATAGCTTTCAAGCGTCTTGCCGTGTCCGTCTGCGTTGATGAAGTCGGCGTTGCGAGGGTCTTGGGCGCTGGCACGGTCGGCGGGCTCTGGCAGGCTGTAGTAGCGGTCCTCGCCCTCTGCAAAGAACTTGAGGCAGTCAAAGGGCTTCCTCATCTTCTCAATGCCAGTATAGGTGCCGCGGCACTCCTCAATCAGCATGTCAATGTCGGCCTCGGTATCGACATGCGGGCGGGGACCCAGGTAGTCGTCCTTGTTCTTGACGGCGGTAATGGGGCGGTTGAAGACATTGGCGTGCGGGTTGATGGTGACAGTCTTGGTGGTGCCGGCGAACTTGACCTTGACGCCCGCCTTGGTTGTCTCGATCAGCTCCGTGGGTCCAGCCTTGTCCAAGAAGGCGGGAATGCCAATCTTGCCCTTCGCAGCAACAGAGGGGTCGTTTATAAAGGTGATGACGCCGTAGATAGCAGCATAGAGCAGTGCCGCCAGCACCAGGTTCTTGCACAGAGTGAAGACTGCGCGGACTTTGGATCCTTCCGCCATATCGATAAGCTAACGGGCGACGACCCGAAGCAGCGTTTCCCAGGTATTATTCGACCCTCGCCAGTTTCGCGTAGGTGTATAGGTTTGGTGTAGGCTCAGTGGAGGTGTGAGGATCGCGGTGCCCAGGTGGAGGCTAGCAGGCGCAAGTGTTGAAAGGGCGGTCGAGGTCGTCGCGATAAGGCGTTGGGGTCGCAATGTTGGAAACACGGCGTTGTCGCACAACGCAATCTTCGCAAAAAGATATATTAGGGAGGATTATCGGGCGCAGCGTGCAGGTGCGTGCATTAGGTGATACGGAGTTTGGTCCTACGCGGGTCTGGGAGGCTGTGAAAGCGGGTCGTAGGCGCGAATGGGCGTGAGCGTGATAGGTTTCGAGGGGCCTGCGGGGAATCCGACACCACAGGCAGAATCACACAGTGCACAACGGTCAAGGACAGACGGGAATGAAAGACAGGTCGGCACCAAGGAGCGGAGGCGGCGTAGAAATGAAATCAGGCTGCGGGTTGTGGACTGCACCAGACCACGACAGTTCGGGGTTCAAAGCAGCTAGCCTAATTTCCCTGCACGCCGCGCCCCATGCTGACCCGCCCTCCACTCCCCCTGAGCACTACCGCACAACTGTTGATGTTTGACAGCTCTGCTAACGGCTTTTGTTATTGTCGCACCGGTTTTTATATCGCGCACGCAAATTCTGCATTCCCTCACTTCACGTCTGTGCTGTGTTGATGCGCCTTCCTCGCGGCGGTGGCTCCTTCCCCTAGGGCCGTCTTCCCGTCCCCATGCGGAAGCGACAGCCCCAAGCGAACTGAGGTCTCTCATCTTGCACGCCTTGCCCGCCTGGTGACTTGTGACTACACCTGTGCCCACCATCGCTTGCATGGTCCCCATTAATGCTGCGACACTCCTGTCTGAAGGCTTTCACTGCCCTATCACCGCCCCGATTCTCGCTCCTCGCCCCCAGACGACCTTACTCGGCCGTCACCGCCCTCCCACGATGTGAGCGCATCGAGATCCCCTGTCGGTCAAACGGCTCCATTACGGTTGAGTAAGTCTTGCTCCGTCTTGTCTTCACATGACGTTGTTGCCATCGTCGTCGCAATTGCCCGGGGAATCCTCCGCATGCTGTGCGATGACCTCACAGCGCTTTGCTCCTCCGCAATCCAACACCATGCCCCGCCCTAAGCGAGCATACCTCAGATCGCAGCTTCTGGGCATCATCTTGGCTTCTTCTCGTACTAACCCTCTTTAGCGTATTCCACGCATCAGCATCTAAAGCTCCGGTCCTGCTTTACCTGCCTCCAGGACCAGTAGTGCCAGAGAGCTCAGATGAAGACACACGCGTTATCACAACGCTAAAAGAGTCAAGTTCTGGGACTATCGTGCGTGTCAACTACCGCGCGTCGTCGGCGCATCAGTATCCGACCCCATGTCACGATGTGCTGCTTGGCTACGATTGGGTCCGCGAGCATATCCTTATCGATGAATTCGAACGGCCTTATCTGGCTCGCATGGGTGTATGCGGAGAACTAGTCGGCGGCTCATTGGCAACGATGCTGGCTCTGACAGAGTGTCGTGTTGGGGAGAGTCGAATCGGCGCTGCAGCCATCAACAATCCGATTGTAGACTGGGTGTTCCCAGACGAGCTCCCAGTCGTCCAGCCGGAGGATCTGCCCGAGCCGCAATATGGCGACGAAACCCAACTTCCAGCTGATGAAGACATGGCTGGTTCATTGGCGATTCGCGAGGCCATAGAGAATCTGCAAACTGGAAAGAAGCGTGGCAGGAAGCGATTGCCCAAAACACCGCCGCCGACATCTTGGCAAGCTTATGGAGAGAACGGAATCATACCCACGATGATTTTGTCGGAAAGGCGTGACGTTCTATTTAGGAAGCCGCAAGACTACTTCGATCGATTTGCATCTCCACTGCACTTCTTCCGTTCCCCTCATGCGCAACTTACCCTGCCGCCGCAAGACGACATCTTCGCATCACAGCAACCAGACGAGCTCCTCGACATCGAGACTCAGATGGCCATGAATCACTATGCGACTTTCGAGGATGCCATCAAAGCCCCACCAGCGGTACCAACGCTGAGCAGATGTCGTGCCTACGCCCGCAACTACCCTCCAGCAGGTACCAGACTGAGTCTGCCGATATGGAACGTCACAACTGGACTGCAGAGTCCGCTCAACGATACCACAAACGATCTAGCCAAGCACCTTCGACGCAGCATCGCCCGCCAAATTCTGAAGACGCATTCTGGGCGATCCCGCTGGCACGACGCAGCAGAGAAGAAGCAATACGAAGAAATCGCCCAAGACAGAGTCGAACTAACCTCCTACGAAGGCGTCGGACTCTGGTCTCAACAAGACCCCGATCCAGCAACGCGTCCACGAATAGAAGAAATCGGAGCATGGATGAAACGACAATTACAACCTGGTTCCTTCTAGACAATCAAAACACGAACATCACAATATCTCCAATCCGTTTACTCACTCACATCCCAAGTCCACACCGCTCAATCTCCCCCAAAGCCTTCTTCTCACAAACCCCTCTCTCCCACGCAGTCACCTCCACCACCACAGCCTTCTTCCCACATATCTCTCTCTTATACGTAACCCCCATCCCACAATCCTGCACAGCACCCAGCACATAATGATCCAGTTCCACATACCCCCAATGTGCAGCCTCAACCCTAACAACAGCCCAACTACTCCAGTGCAACAACGGCACACGCGGCCTTCCATCTGTGTCCTCTTTCATGTAATCATCCAGCCCTGCTATCTGATCATTTCCGGGATGCGCACTTTCCACCTCTGTATCTGTATCTGGCAAAAACGGTAACAGGACTTCGCAGCTCGATTCTGCGCCCACGGAAAGCGGAAAATACTCAGGCTGTCCATACGCTTTGAATCCGGTCGTAGTACTCGTCCTTATTTCCCCCCCTTTCGGATTGTGCGACCTCCAGGAAACGGTGTAGTTCATTCGATTCTGCCCCAACAATTGTAGTAATGCTTTCACCTCCACCCTCTCCGGATGCGGAACCAGAAACTCAAAGAAGCCCCTCTTCTTGGTTTGTTGCCACATCGGCATCATCACCCAGGGAAAACTGGACGACACACCCCATCTCCGTGTACACTCCGTCGAAACCCCACCATCTTCCACCCTCAGCGGAATAACACCCCGTTCCAACAACCGGCTCAACGCCCACCTTGCTTTCTTATTAGTCCCGTATTCATTCCTCAATCGCCGCTGCATCGTAGACATATGTTCAGCATGAAAAGGCGTATGCTCGCCTCTTATCTCTCCCTTCTGCGCCAACCCGATTAATCCGTATAACGTCGTCCAGTCGGAGGTTAACCAGGGTACGCGCCATGCGTGTTCTAGATTGCGGGCTTCTTGGTTGGATTGGGTGATTTTGTGGCGGCGGGCGGAGGCGAGGGAGTGGAAGAGGGGGATGGAGAGGAGGATGAGGAGGTGCAGGAGGGTGGGTAGGGTGGAGAGGGAGGGTGAAGTGGGGGGCTGGGAGTCACCGGGATGGATTGCGTGGTCTGCGACGGAAGTTGTTGCTGTTGTTAGGACGGCGGTGATTGTGGATGTTGCCATACTGGATTCGGTGTGCGGATGTCTTCTTGGTGTCGCGATGGGTATGCCACGGGCGTATTGTAGTCATCCTTCAATTCAACGATGCGAGCTGACTGCATTGTGCATGTTGGACAAGTAAAGTGATTTGTCTTTGTGGTTTCTCGTTGTTTGATCAGTCCGTCAATGGAGGTCGCGGCATTTTGACCAGATCCGGCGTATCGTATGGCTTTGTTCGCTTATGAAGGGAACAAATATGCAAGTATCGTCTCGTCCTTCTTCACAGGAAAGACAATGAACTTAGGCATTTGATTTTTCAGCATTGAAAATGAGACTTGTGCTACAAAGTCCTACTGCAGATAGACGTGACATATCTTAGTGTTGCAATTATTCTGATATCCCAGTATCTATAAGCGACGATGAAGGTCGTTCTTGACGCATGAAACGCCCAAAGGCCTGAGTGAACAATCCTGTCCCTGGCCTTTTTTAATGACTATCAAATTGTGCCGTCCCATGATGACAGCGCGTAGACTGGGTGCGTTAGACTATGAATCTTCTGCGAAATAAAGCTCAACGCATACTATAGCCCATCTCGATATAATCACCTACAAATCAATCAGCGGCTCATCAACAACCTTCTGCTGCTGGACCGGCAACTGATTCTGCGGCGCAGACGGGAAACTCTCCGGTCCATAACCGCCCGTCGCATACGGTGCTGATTGCCACGCCGAAGACTGCTGCTGCTGTGGCGCTTGCTGTTGCTGTTGCCAGTACTGTTGGGGAGGAGGCGCTTGTTGCGGAGCTTGTTGTTGCTGGGGAGGTGCCTGCTGCTGCTGCTGTGGTGGAGGCGCTTGTTGTTGTTGTTGAGCCTGTGGCTGATCTTGCCTGGGATACGGCGGGTTCTGCCACGCAGTCGTAGGTTGTGCGGGTGGTGAGATGGGCGTCTGCTGTGGTGGAGCTCGGGTGTATGCTTGTGGGGAGGGAGGCTGCTGTTGTTGGGATGGCTGGGAGCCGTAGCTTTGGCTTCGTTGCATTGGCGGCTGAGAGGGTTGCGCTGCAGCGCTGTCTCCGTAGTAGAAGCTAGCGCTCTCTGCGTCAGACACCGGAGGTGCTTGCGATGGATATCCCGAGGACTGTTGTTGCGGGTACTGCTGATTTGAGACTTGACGCTGGAGTTGTGGTGAAGCAGGGTTCGGGTACGAAGTATTAGGTGGTGGCTGTGCGAGGTTGGGGTATGGTTGTGAGGGTTGTTGGTACTGATCTTGCGGTGGAGCGTAGGACTGCGGACGTTTGTCGAACTGTGGGTAGGGTGCTTGGTAACCGCCACCGTATTGCGATTGCGGTTGTCCGTATGCACTCGAAGGGTCTGCGTTTCCTGTGTAGTAGTTCTCGCCTGATCCCGGTGCGCCTGACTGCTGTATGCTTGGGTATAGGTTGGATGTCGGCCGTTGTGAAGAAGCTGGGAGGCCGTACATGGCGCTGGCCTGGTTGTATGTGCTGGAAAGTCTCTCCTCGAGCATGCGATCGTAGTATCGGACGACGGTTGACAGCTTCGCGTGTAGGTCAAGTAGTGTGTCTACTCACGTTAGTACAGTTCCGATGGCGCAGAGGTGTAACATACCATGCTTGCTCATAGTTTCGCCGTAGGTACGGGCAAGTTTCGGCCTCAACTTTCCAATGCTCTCGTACAGCTCTTGTATCTGCGGCTCGCGTAAGATAGTGCCAGGCGCTTGGTGTTGTAACCGGTCGACCAATGTGGAAAAGAGGTTGATGTTCTCGGCTTCGACAGGCGTGAGCTCGTAATCGTTCTTAGGCGCAACAAAAGGTGCTGATCCGTTTGCATTGGAAGCCTGTTCCCGGAAGGTCGTGGCATACTTCTTCTTTTGTTCTTCCATGTCGGCCAAGGAAGCTGCAATAGCGGCAGCCAGGTCGGCATCCTCCTCCTCTTCAGGCTGTTTCTTGCTCGTTCCGTTGGTTGGCTTGGATTGTGACTGCAACTGCGACTGAGGCACAAAGCCGGAAGAGCCGTTTCCCTTGGCTTCGTCCAGACTCATCTCCAGCGCTCGCTTCAAGTCGGCATCGAAGCTGTCCTCGACGCGCGCATTCCGCGGCTCCATTGAGCCCTGATATAGCGTCCTCTGTGGCTTGGGGGTGTCGAACACTCTCGGGAGCGGTGTTCCTCGCGACCGTTCGGTGAGCTTCGCATGGCAGCCATCGTCGACGCGCACAGGGTCCATGATGCCGAGATGGGGTAATGGGATGCTCTTGCTCGAGCATGCGCCACAGAAGACGTTTCCGCAGTTGCGACAGTGGTGCTTCCGGTTCGTGAAGGTAAAGGGCGTGCGGCATCGCATGCAGACGTCGGAGTCGGTCCACTCGGGGGGCTGAAAGTGTTAGTACGTGTTATTCGCGTAATATTGTTTCAACGTACTGCACTACTATCAAGCATACTGCTGGAGATGTTCTCCTTTGGGGGGAAGTGGTAGCCCTCCCGTTGCAGGCTGTAGTAGACCTCGTTGATGTAGCTGAGGTTCTGGCGCCCTTCAGCGGCAGTCGCCCATGACTGTATAAGCTCGAGCATCTTGTTCTTCACATCGTTGTTGGGTGCGACGGTCGGGGGTGCCTTGAGGAGGGACGTCATATTATCGAGGAACTCGCGGGAAGCTATCTCTTGGATGAAGTGGGCGCCGCCGTTCTTAACGCACGTGTCTGTGAGCTGAGACGATTAGTAGGTATTCATGGCTTTGTTCGATAGTGCTTCATACGTTCAAGGTGGCAAGCTGGACGTTGGGGTTCTTATTCCCTATCCTCTTCTTCAATGCGCGCATGGCATCTCTAGGCTGCACCGTCTTGGAGCGAATAACGTCGGATATCTCGAGGTTGAGGGGCATGTCCTCTCTGATGTGTATTAGCAGATGTGTCGAATATTGTGGATATCTCGGCCAGCTCGTACAAGCTCGAAGAGGTGGCGCGCTCGATCTGCTCGTCGAGCGCGCCGGTGGTCGAGGACCCGAACCAGCCCGCCATGATGTAGGGCGCTCCCAGTGGATTGAATGAATTCGTGGGTGTCAGATGTAAATCGATGTACTTTGATAGCTGCTCGACTTCGAATTAAAGTTGCGGCTTGGTGGAGAGTAGCGCGTGGGGATAGTCGCTGTGGTGGTTAGGTAGCAAGCTGTCCGAGGTGAGGGCTTGGCGATGACGCCGGACGCCTCTGAGCCGCATCCACCGACGCATGCTTCAACCCTGCGAATCGCGGGACGGCCATCCACGCCCAACGCCTTCACTCACGATACCCAAATCGCCCCTGGAACCCGCCCGCTCCTGTAGAATCGCCGCCCGTGACTGCACGCCACTGCCCAATCACGCGCTACCCGATCCGCCCCGCATTCCCGATCAACACTGCCTCTCTGGCCACACGTACGCGTATTCGACTGCGGGTCTCGATACACCCAGGTGCGCCTTGCTCGGACTCGAGAACATGCACGCCTGCCCGCCGATCAAAGTGTGTTTGTGAGTGCGGCACCTCCTCCGCCGCCCTCAGCACCTCGTTCGCCCGCCCACACCACCACCACCGCCATGAACGGCTACACCAATGGCGCGCACGGCGTCGGCGCAGACGGATGGGGAAGCGGCGACGGCGCTGGTGACTCCAGAGGCCCAGTTGGCCCATTCCCGCCCATCGCCGAAATCATAGCCTCTGCGACAGACACGGCCGAGTCGCTAAAACACCATTCGGTACTCATCCAACGCCGCCTCAGAGGTAACACGTTCATGCGCCAGTCGCTGACCATCACAGATCAAACTCCTCCTTGAACGAGCCAGGGGGCACTTCAACTCGGCCAAGAACATGCTCAACAACCGCTCTCCCGCCGGCGCCTACTGGGAATACATTGTCGCATACCAGATCGTCGCCGAACTGATACCCACCCACCGCGACTACTACGACAAGATCAACGGCAGCCGAAGCCAGATCCACCGCGACTTCAACGAGCTTATGAAAGAGATCAAGTCAAACGAAGAGCGGTTTGTGCGCATAAAGGACATTATAAAGAACGACAACAAGAGGAACGGCGCACACCACAGGACGACCTCTACACCCCCCTCTACAACACAAAGCAACCGCAATGGCATGATTGCGATGCGGAAAGACGACGAGCTGATGCTTCCTGAAGTCCCCACCGGGCTGCCAAACGGTCGAGCGTCACCTGCGGCCTCTCTGGATTCTTCACGGAGAAAACCCCCCGTGCAACCGAAACCGCAATCGCTGCATGGGCGGGCTGTGCACCAGAGCATATCGAATGTCAACGGAGTGAATGATCTTGCTCAGCGGTTCGCGAATCTGAGAGGCACCGGTCCCCTAGTCGATACATCGCCACGCCCCAGCCAGGATCTGTCCGTCAAGATGCCCTCTCCTGCAGACTACCACTCTACAAACCGGATCATGGGTCCACGGGGCATGCCACCGCCACCCCTTCACATGCCTCCGCCGCCACCGAAGCTGCCTCTAGATACACAATTCGCGGCTTCACTACCGAAGGAGCCTAGTCCTACCTATAGTCCAGCGAGGAACATCTCAGGTCCTTCGAGCATCAACGCACCTCGGAGTACACCCAGGAGTTTGAACGGGACCGGGGGCCGTACCAATTCACTTGCCGCCTCAAGTGCATCAGCGTATGCACCCAACGCAAACAGTGCGCCCGACTCATACTTTCCCGCGCAAACCCTTCGAGATGGTAATGGGCGAACGAGGTCTGTCAGCAAGACGGTTGAACTTGAGATCGATGCCAGCATGCTTTACGACTACTACCGCATGTACAATGTACTCACCATCGACGTACGAGACAGGACAGACTTCGACGCTGGGCACATCTTTGTGCGTAACATCATGTGCATAGAGCCATTGACATTGCGCGATGGCGACTCCGCCGAACAGCTTCTGGACCGTCTCATCATATCGCCGGATGAGGAACAAGACATGTTCGACAAGAGGGCCGACTTCGATGTGGTCGTATATTACGATGAGTCGACAAGGAACATCGACTTCATGCATACACACAACCGATCTGATAGCGAGATTGCGTTGAAGCGATTATTCGATACCCTGCACGAGTTCAACGCCGATAAACCGCTCAGGCGTCCTCCGGTTCTGCTCAAAGGCGGTCTAGATGCTTGGATGGACTTGGTAGGCCCACAGGCTTTGAAGACGTCGAACACTGCTGGACAAGTGGCCGCTGGTCCGACGCGGGCTCGGGCCATACGACGATCGCCAGCTGCCAGCCATATCGCGAGGAACAATACGCAGAGAAGGTCGAAACGCGAATACGTCCCCATGGACCAAGAAGAGCAGCAACAATGGCTGGAGGAGGCTCGAAAAGGGCGTGCTGCAGTGGAAGTGCCTCCGGCAGATGGTGAGGAGGAAGATGAACCTACGCAGGATTTCTACCGTTCGACAGAAGAGTTCCTACGCCGATACCCCGATGTTGAAGCCGAGCAGTCATCTATGATGTACCCGTCGAAGTTTCAGTCGACCAATCAATACGTCGCACCTGCCATACCCGTTGCGCCTTCGCGGCCGCCGCCTTCTGTTCCTAGGGTGAGCTACAGTGGCGTACACGATCGGCAAGAACAGAACCGCAATGTCGTCTACAACGGACAACCTCAGTTTAGTAACCTTAGGCTACATAGGACGGGCCTGCTGAACTTTGGTGTCACGTGCTACATGAACTCGGTGGTGCAGTGTCTCAGTGGGCATCTATTGCTTTCAGATCTGTTCCTCACCGGACGATATCAGCGAGACCTGCAGCGAGATAACTGGAAAGGAACAAAGGGGATCTTACCAGAGGCGTACGCGACGCTACTGTCTAATCTGTACAAGGGCGATGTCACGTCCGTGCGCCCAAGCACGTTCAGGGTAAGTCAAATATGGAAGCAGAAAATAGGCATGGCTAACTTTGAACAGCGCATCTGCGGACACTTCAACTCGCAGTGGGGCATTGATGAGCAGCAAGACGCCAAGGAGTTCCTGGAATTCGTTCTAGACTACATGCACGAAGACTTGAACCTGACCTGGAACAAGCCGCCACTCAAGCCACTTTCGGATCAGGAAGAGTTGCAACGAGAGAGGTTTCCCCGCCAGTATTCGGCAATGATCGAGTGGCGAAGATACCAACACCGCGACATGTCCGTCATTGGTGGCCTGTTTGCCGGCCAGCACGCGTCGCAGCTGACATGCCAAACATGCGGCGTGACAAGTACAACATACGAAGCCTTCTGGAGTATCAGCGTCGAGATTCCCCGAGACGGCGAATGCGACCTGCGCCATTGTCTCAACTCATACTGCGCACCAGAGCGTCTAGCAGGCGACGAACTATGGCGTTGCCCTCGCTGCAAGAAAGACCGCGAAGCCGTAAAGAAAATCACCATCACCCGCGCCCCCGACACCCTCGTCATCCACTTCAAGCGCTTCAGCGCCTCGCGCACGGAAAGCGCCCGGAAAGTCCGGACGCCTGTCAATTTCCCGCTCCAACGTCTCGACATGGGTCCCTTTGTCGAACCACCCATGACGCCAGAACAAGAAAGATACGTGAGTGAAAAGGCCCGAGATGGACCTGCGCAACTTGCTGGTGTCAAGAGCGATCCTACTATGAATGGGCCGTATGTCTACAACGCCTATGCTGTCATATGGCATATTGGTGCTACGCTAGGAAGCGGACATTACATCGCGTTCGTCAAGGATAAGTCTAGGGGATGTTGGCGTTCGTTCAACGACGATAAGATCACGGACTTTGATCCTGGGAATCTTCCACCACACAACCGTCTGCAGAATGAGAAGGCGTATATTGTTTTCTATGAGAGGGAGAGGGTTGCTGGTGGTGCTTTCTAGCAACGCACGTGTCAATAACAGATCCAGCGCGTTGGGTTAGGTGTTTACGCGTTATTTGACTTTTGGCGCTGCATCTTTGAGAAGTTTGGGTAGCGACAGTCTGGTTAAGATTATACCTTGCGCGTGCGACGAATTATGTCTCTGGGACGGACGGGGCATTGCATACTTGGCGTTGGGATTATATACCTTGTCGAATATCATTCCGTTGAGACGCAGCAGCGGCTTGTTATGTTGATGTGTGAACTTACTGTGAAGTTTGAGCACATCAATACAGCGAGACAGGCATTGGGGATAGCTACCGTTTGTGTCGCATTGTGTGAAATACTTGACTGTAGGAATATACATTACCTCAGATGCTGCCTACTAGTAAAGTTTCAACAGTACGTATACTGCATACTGCAAACCGCGACACAAACTCTAGGTACCTTTACTAAGGGCTATCCAGAGTTCAGGTCAGTCGTGAGGCTGACAGCCGATGATCGGGCAGCAGGGATGGTGAGGGACCGAACATTTTTTGTGCCGATAAGATAAGGTTTCTGACTCTCCACACGTCGTTCCCCAGACGCCGCAACCCCTCTTCAATTGACTCTTCTTGACTTCTTCCTTCGAAACTTCTTTTACCTTTTTATACACGAACGCTTGCAGATATGTCAAAGGGACGCGTTTGCCTTGCTTACTCTGGTGAGTACCCTACAACTAACAATTCCACGCCAAATGCGTTCGCTACGCTCACCTGCGTCTTACTGCGTCTCACTTCGTTCGACTGCGTCAATTGCGTTCACTCGCTCAGAGCCAACAAACTAACCCGAGTCATTAGGCGGCCTCGACACCTCCACGATCCTGAAATGGCTCATCGGTATGTCAGAAACACATTCAGACACACACCTCACAATCTAACGCGTAGACAAAGAGGAGGGCTATGAGGTCGTCTGCTTCCTCGCCAACGTCGGCCAGGAAGAGCCCTGGGACGAGGTGGAGAAGAAGGCGCTCAAGATCGGCGCGAAGAAGATGGTCATCCTAGACCTGCAAAAGGAATTCGTCGAGGAACTCTGCTTCCGCGCCGTCCAGTGCAACGCTTCATACGAAGGCCGCTACCTCCTCGGCACCTCGCTGGCCCGCCCCGTCATCGCCCGCGCACAGATCCGCGTCGCGCAACAAGAAGGCTGTGGGTTCGTCTCGCACGGCTGCACCGGCAAGGGCAACGATCAGGTCCGCTTCGAGCTGGCTTTCTACACACTTCAGCCTACTATCAAGGTTATTGCGCCGTGGAGGCTGCCGGAGTTCTGCGACCGCTTCAAGGGCAGGCAGGATCTGCTTGACTATGCGGAGCAGCATGGTATTCCGGTTACGTCTACCAAGGCGAAGCCCTGGTCTATGGACGCCAACTTGGCTCACTGCAGCTACGAGGCCGGTAAGATACCACACATTAAGGTTGTGTGTTCAAGGCTAATGATCCAGGCATCCTCGAGGACCCCGACGTGTCTCCCCCAGACGACATGTGGACCATGACCGACTCCCCCCTCAACGCCCCCAACGAACCCACCGACATAACCGTCCACTTCGAAAAGGGCATCCCCGTCAAACTCACCACCCCCTCGGAGACCTACACCGACTCCGTGGAGCTCTTCACCGCCCTCAACAAACTCGGCTTCACCCACGGCATCGGCCGCATCGACATCGTCGAGAACCGTTTCATCGGCCTCAAATCGCGCGGCTGCTACGACTCGCCCGCCATGACCATCCTCCGCCTCGCCCATCTCGACCTCGAGGGCCTCGTCATGGACGCCCAGGTGCGCAACCTGCGCGACCAGTTCGTGTCCCACAACTGGAGCTACCAGCTCTACAACGGCATGTACTTCTCTCCTGAGCGCGAGTTCATCGAGAACAGTCTGCTCTTCTCGCAGCGCAGGGTCAACGGCGAGGTCAGGTTGAAGCTGTACAAGGGTAACGCGTATGTGCTTGGTCGGTCTAGTCAGACGGAGAAGCTGTACTCTGAGGAGGAGGCTAGTATGGATACGTTGGATAACTTTAGTCCTATGGATACTACGGGCTTTATTGCTATTCAGAGCATTCGGTGAGTTTAGATCTTCTTTGGGGGGTATGAGTTATGGATGGTTTGCTAACGTGAAATAGTCTCAAGAAGTACGGTCTTCAGAAGGCGGAGGAGGGCGAGAACATGTCGAGGGCTTAGAAGGCTTCGTCTGATATGCATACTACGTTGACGTACTGGCGGAGGTGGCTGCATCGTGAGAACATGCATGATCAGGTTACTTATGCGAGTCCTGAGGTTACGCCGAAGGGGAAGGCGGGTTAGGATTGGGGAAATGCGACGTCCTGATGAGTATGATGAGATGGATAAAATAGATACCAATGATAAAAGTCATACTACTAATCTGGACATGTGGATGACGTGTTGTTCCATGACAAAATGACGCGTGCGAAATGATACTCTTCTAATAGGCAGCGTCACAACATTACCACATCGTCAAGACAACTCCGCTAAAGCTACCCTGATAGGGCCTTTCGAGCTCAAATACACTGAACCAGAAAAGACCAACATACTGCAACAAACCCATTTGGCTAACTGTCAAATCCCCTCTTTACCAAACATCCAAACCCCCAACCAAAACATCAAAGTCTTCTCTCGCAGAAAGACTTGGAACTCGAACACGTGAACCCCAGAAGCGCTCATTGGCTGACGTGAACGCCAAGCACTAGCTCCAAATGGTAGCTATTCCGAGCGTTCCGATATCGGTTATCGGGGGGTCGGTACCGCTGAGAGCAACGTCGCACTCAGATTCGCGACGAAGGTTTCGCGCGTCGCGGTTGGGATGCAAAAGCTTCTGCGAGGGAAGCTGGGAAGTGACAGTAAAGAGGTTTGGCGCGTCACGGTTGGGATGCGGTTGATGATGTAGCTTGTACGAGGTGTGTGCTTGATCGTCTTTCTCTTTTTCCTTGCATCTTCTTGTTGAACCCACTCCAGTTTCGCAGCTCCAGTCTCCATGTCTCCACATGCTTTGTTGCTCCGTCTTCTTTAGCCTCGTCCATCTCTCGTTGCCCGGTCCATTCCAGCCGTGGCGTCTCACGCATGCTTATTTTCCGCTTATCTCCTTATATTCCGCGTCCATATTCCCTTCTCATCCAGCTCGTCCGCATCCTTATCCTCACTCACTGGGAGGAGCCCGAGGTTGCCTTCGTTGCGCCTCAACCCATTCCTCGGTGGTGAGGTACAAGCTTGACCGTCTCCGCCTCGATCCAGCATCCTGCTGTCGTGCCTGCCCGGTGCTGCCGTTGTAGTTTCCTGGCTGTCGCGAGGAAGGTGCTGTGTAAGCCGCTGGTGGGTTGTAGGCGGCAGCGGGGTAGTTGGCCTGGGGTTGCGTACGCATCGTCGGTTGAGGCTGCTGCACGACGAAGTTGTTGACGGGGCCTGGCGCATACGTCGTACCCGGCTGCTGTACGAAGTTGTTGTTGACGGAGCCTGGCGCGTACATCGGGACCGGCTGGAAAGTAGGCTGGAAATGCGCCTGCTGTGGAGCATACATGATCGGCGCGTATGGACTTTGGTAACCCCCAGCAACATTGTGGCCGGTAAAGGTGGGTTCTGGAAGGGGTTGCTGGTAGCCGGGAGCAGGAGCAGGAGCAGGAGCGGGATACCGATGGAAGATCGGACGTGAAGCCATCTGATCAAGGCTGTACGACCCATCCGACGGTTCGAGAGGAGCCATATCCCCGGATGAATACAACAAGAAGTTCTGGAAGTCCGAAAAGTCAGACAGGATTTGGGCTTCCCCGGCATTCTCATCAGACACCCCATTTTGAACTGCTTCCAAGTTCAGTCCGGCTTCCTCAAAGTCCTCAGGTCGCAAGCCATCTTCCTGGAAGGTATTGCCTGAAGACTGATATCCCACAGGATGCGAAGGGCCATGGCCCAAAGTAGCCTGACTTGAGTTCGAAGGAAATCTCATCAGATCCGCCTCAGCGAAGACATTACCAAACTGGTGTTGCGGGTAATGCTGGTATTGCTGGTATTGCTGCTGCTGCGGCTGTACGAAGTTCACACGCGAGGCTGGTGCCGTGACAGCAGGCGGCGCATATCCCGCTCCCTGATGGGCAGCAAAATGGTATGGAGGTGCACGCGCATATGGGGTATAGCGCTGGCTGCGCTCGGTATTCCTCGGCGCAGTCCTACGGCCAGACTGCACATTTGTCGCTATATGTGCGTGGTCCACATGCTCTCCTCGCGTAGGGATGGCCAACTGTGGAGGACCAGGAGCCGGCATGGTTGGCAAAACCTGAGGCCTGCCCTGCGCGAGCGCGAGTTCAGCCGCACTCAGATCTGCTGCATTTGTGACATTACCGTTAACACCCCATCTTGCCTTTGGCGATCCCGGAAGAAGCGGCCGTTGTCGCCGCGGTGGTGGTGGTGTCGAGTCTGCACTGCGACGTTTGCGCGCCATCTTGAATGGTTAGATTACCAGGGAAAGATATGTCAGTAAGGTTAAAAAAAATGTTGCTAATAAGATTGCAGATGTTAACGAGCATTATATATACGCAGCGTTTTCAGCACGCGCAGTGAAGTTCGCTAGAGAAGACGGATTTGGACTTGGTAAGAACATCTATCCGTGGTTCAACAATGTTCAACCATAGGTGTTTCTCCTACGCTACACACAGCAAAAAACATACCAATATTGTATCCCCTTACACCAGAAGAGGCAGCTACCTAAAGCACGCGTACATGTCTCTCTCGTCTCGGCCAAAATCAGCGACTGCCTCCGTAGACCAGCTCCTCCCGCCTCGTTGCAGCCACGCTTCATGTTCCAGATTCTCCCAGATCGAATCGGCAACGGGCTCTACAGGTGGCATTCGCTTACGGTAGGCTTCATTTGGTGCCTGGCTTGCCCGCCTATCCGCGTGCACCTTACTGTCATCCCGCGGTTTCTCCGAGCGCCCCCCACGGATCACCATATCTGTTTCTGTAGTTCCGCTACTACAAACCTTAGTTTCACACCGCGCCTTCCTAGGGCGCCCACCACGGATTACCATGTCTCTCTTTACAATTCCACCGTTGCTACCAACCCGACCATAGTTACGTTTCTCCGTGTGCAGCTTGCTGCTATCTTGCACTTTCCCCGGTGGCCCACCCCGGATTACCAGCTTTGCGACTTCACCACTTCGACCAGCTCGACCATAGTTACGCTTTTTCGGTGCCTTGGGTCGCGACTTAGCTCGCTTCTCTTCTAATTCCCGCAGAGCTCTCTCTAGCGAAGCGTTGTCCTCCTCCGGCGTTCGCGCGTCATCTTCGGACTCGCTAATCCACTGATCGATTGCTAGGGGTGAGCGCGGAGCAGATGAGGAGTCTAGATCTTGGTGGTCATGTAATTCGGAGGACGGAGAAGGGTGGCTGACTGTTGCGATGTCCATGAACTCCTCCGCTAGACCTGCCGTGTCAGTACTGAGGAGGCTGTTAACTTCGTCGTCTCGTCTGCGCTGTGCCTTGCTTTGAGCGGTTAGCGGGACCTCGATATCGTTGACTTGGTCCGCTAGGTCGGTCATCTCGCTGTCGCTCATGTTGGTTGGTGATGGTGATTTTGCGATTGAGTAGTGGATGTATTGGATAGGAGTGAAAATCTGAAGGAGGGCAATTACTGTGCAGTTTATAAGGGCGAAGAAAGTGCTAGAGTGAGACAAATTGTCTCGTATAGGCTGTGTTTCGTTGGTCTTAAGGCTCGGTCATTTGACTAGGCTTCACTTTGGCGTACTTTCTAATCCCATGACAATGCAGCAATGAAACAATTACCAGTCTATTACAATCTCATATGTGCTATAACTATCCTATACCTACTCATACAAAAGAAAGTTTATATCCGTGCCGTATGTGCCCAATCATGAGTCTAAAGCTTGATGAAGTGCTCATGTAGTTTCATGATGCGACAAGCCCGCGAGTAGTTGTCTCACTCAAGCATAGCTTCCACCAAACATACTAACACTACGGCCCATTCGCCAAGCACCCCAGAGCACCATGCCCAAGATCGCTAGATTAGCAAACTGCCTGCAGATGACGAGCAGAAAGGTGCTAGCCAAGACAGAACTGTCCGACCAGCCGGAGGTGTCGACGTAGAGGAGGATGATATCGTAGATGATGAAGATGTCGCGAAGCCAGATGAGAGGTACAACGGTGAAAGCGAAACGAGCGAGATCGTTGCGTTCGGGTGACTGTGGGGCGTTAGTGACGGAACTTATACATTGCGACAAAGAGCAAGACTTACACCATGAGCGTTCTTGTTCGTGGTACCATACTCCCTCCACACTTCGATGGAAACACTCAGACTGGCTGCGACAACGATGGCCTCGTGCACGATGTATGTAATCCTCGTCGCACGGTCGTGCTGCATGACGTTCGACCAAGACAAGAGCGCATCCGGACCTGAGCTACCGGTACTAATGTCTCGAGCCTCCAAACCCAGACCCCATGCTGCAACACCGGTACCTAACATGGCAACCATGATGAACGTGTTCCAGATACGCGACATCGTCTTCGGCGTCGAAATACCAGTGCCGTTCTCCTGGACATGACTAGAGTGGATCCAGACGCCGCCGTTGAGCAGCACAGTGAAAAAGACAGTCGCGAGCGTCGTGGCGAACGTAAGCGCTGAGATACTCGAAGCGTAGTCACTGTCCGCGAGATTGTAGCCGCGACGGCCGTTCCATCCCAGGTCCGCATCGTAGTCGATCGTTCCGCTCGTCTTCAGGACATCGGATATAAAGCGACATAGGTACGCGACGAAGAGACAGAGAAGCGCCGGCCAGAGGAAGAGATACGTCCCGAGCGTCGTCTTCAGCGGGCCATCGCGCGCGCTGTTCTTGCCCGGCGCGGTGAAGCGGCGTTGTTTGATCCGCTGGAAGGTAGGTTTCGAAGCCAGACCCAGGAAGATTAGGGCGCCAGCCGCTGTGATGACATCGAGGGCGAAGACGGCTTGGTAGGATTCTCGTTCGTTGGTGATGTTGATGTTGGACATGGCACGCTGCGTTTTATGAATAAAGCGCGTGGATAGTTCGACTCAGGTGAGGTTTTAGAGTGAGATCGTAGTTGGCGCGAAACCCCATCTTTGAAGGCATGGCAAATTGATGAAAAAGCATGCCTGATGCCTATGACGTTGATTGCTGTCACCCACCCGCTTGGCAATAAGGTGTTGGGTGGATCTTGTTCGGATCTGAGTGCCGACGATGGCGGTGCTCGGCAAGGACGGCAGGTATAGCGAAGTTGTCGTCTGGTATGTGTCACAGCTGTTGCTATCCATTCATTCCCCGGCAAGGGAAACAGCCGATTTCATGGATGCAACGCGTGAATGTATGCACACGTGCCGATGATGCAGCCCTGGGGTGAACCCGTGGACGACTTGTGGAGGTTGGGGAAGAGCCTAGCTGGTATGCGGTTTAGTCCGCGGGAGGAGCGCGGACGCTAAGTAATGATCTAACCGCTTCAGTATCTGGCAGCTCGCCTCTCATCCCATTCCGTCATGCCCGTTTTCTCGAGACAACTCCTTTGTCTGGCGCTTCTTGTGTCGCGTGGCATCCCCCTAATCAAGAGCGACTGTGAATTCATTGGATGCGGTGAGACGCACTGTGATGTCGATGGCTCAACACAGCCATAGGCGTTCCTCGGCGCCGTTACCCTCTATGACGCGTTAAGATGTGTGTTACGACCCTGCCGAGGATATGTTGCACACTCTTATTTTACGACCTTTTTGAAACTGGTAGAGGGCTATACCAGACTTGGCCACCTTTTTGATGATACCCACTAGCTTATATATTCATCTTGGTGTATCACGAAGAGAATTAGTACGCTACATGTCAACCATGTCAGAACAAATGCGTTGCTACTTACATTAACCAAGAAAGAAGAACAGGACAGCATACATCATGAAAATACATAGGAAAGCAAATATACCATACACCAGTCCAACCCCGCCGTTCCCGCCAGCACCTCACCAAGCAAACCCCACCACCACAACCTACACCCCACCCAACCCCAACTTCCCCACAACCCCATCCACCAACCCCCCAATACTCGCACTCTGCAAAATCTCAAACACACTAACCGTAGCCTTCGTCTCCCTCTGAATCCAGTTCTTGATCTCAACAGCCACCAATGAGTCTGTTCCGTAGCTGCTCATCGAACGCGTAGCATCAAGGTCCGATACATCCATCATCAGACTGCGCGACAGCTTCTTGAGCAGCGCTGCGGTGATGAACTCCTTCGCTGCCTCCGCAGATGTACAGGAAGAGAGCTGCGCGGCGAGCGATAGCGATGTTGTCGTCGTACCGTCAACTGACGTTGTCGCAGGCGCATCGATCTTGAGATGCGGGCGCAGGTACGGCAAGTGACTCAACACGGGATCTCGTGCGAAGAACGGCGCTTCTCCATCATCCAAGCTGCTAATATCGAGGTCAGAGTCGAGGCCCGTGACGACATGTCCCATCATCGGTTCGCGAATACCCAGTTCGATGAGCGCCAACATCTCCTTCTCCTGGATGTGTTTGAACTCCTGGACCTGCACTTTGCGGCCTTGAACCTTCTTCTCAACGACATAGCCCACGTCGCCGACGATACCTAGATCAATGGCTGTAGCGGGCAGACCGAGCGCATTGCGGTATCTGGCTAGTGCGACTTGGTAGGCGCAGCCTGCGGCGTAGTTGGCTTGACCGGGGTTACCGATGAAGGAGTGGAGGGAAGAGAGGAGAACGAAGAAATCGAGTGGTTGGGATAAGGTGGTCTCGTGGAGGTTCTTTGAGCCGTGGACCTTGGGGAGGATAGTCGAAGTCCATTGATGCGATGTCATTGTGCTGAAGAGGGAGTCGTTGAGGGTCATCGCGCCTTGTATTACACCCTTGATGGGTGGGAAGGAGCGCAGGGTTTCGGAAAGAAGGTTGGAAAGCTCGAGTGCGTCGGATACGTCACACTTCAGAATGGCAGTGCGGACGCCCGAGGCGTGAAGGGATGCGAGGAATGCTTGGGCTTCTTCTGATACTGCGCCGAAGCGGGAAATGAATATGAGGTGTTTTGCGCCGTGGGTGACGAGCCATTGCGAGATGCTTCGTCCGAGACCGCCAAGACCGCCAGCGAGGAGGTAGGAAGCTGATGGGTCGAAAGAGGTAGCGGGTGGTGGTCTTTGAGCAACCTGAAGTTTGTTAGTCGCATCTTCGACATCAATATAGATGGTGACGTACAAGAACCTGGTCGTTAGCCTGCGGTACCATGACCATCTGCTTGTCGTGACTCGCATCTTGCAACATCTTAAAAGCCTCATTCAGCTTGGACCAAGGTAAAACCTCCACAGCGCTAGGTTCGAGTGTCTTCATCTCGGTGGCAG